AAACTCGATTTCCGCCTCTTCGTCATATAACGTTGTTTCTGCATCAAATAACGATAAGCCGTCAACTATAGAGTACCTATGCAAATTAAAAAATAAGACACACATTTTAATATTATTCGCAAAATCGAATAAAACATAAAAAAAAACATACACGTGTGGCTTTTATACACACCATGGATTCATATTACATCTGCATGTTACACAGCATGAACTATATTATACAGGTGTTTTTAAAATAATTTACATTTAAGTTAAATTGAATTAATACTTTATAAATATATTAAAATATATATTCTACAGACAATAAATACTGATGATAAATACTTTCCATACTGAAAGTTTTTTTTTTGTACGTAAATATAAATATAATGTATTATGTAAATATGTCTGATGGGCGTAGTCCCTATTTTGTATTTATACATAGGAATTGTAGCTCACATAATGTAAATTAATACACCCAACTGTTAAAAGTGCTCACTCTACTTACTTATCAGTGACTTACTTTTTTTAACGACTTAATGACTGAATTTTGATAAATTTACGTATGATTATCATTAAATACAAACACTACCTTAATGTTAATTATCCTTGGAACAAAGAACAGAGTAGAAGAAACAAAAAATATTATTATTTATGTTGACTATTATTGTTATATACTTCATATAAAAGAATATATATGATTAATTAAAATTTTAACGACGTGCAGTTCATTTGAAAATATTTAATTGCCATACCACATTACTGTAAATAGGAAAATCACATTAACTTCTTTATTATACCACCACCAAGCGCCAATAGTAATGTTGAAACAGTTGTAACATTTTCACATAAAATATAGGATCCAATATTATAATAGTTTTAAAGTTTAAACGCAGTTTTAAAACTTTGAACTCTATAATAATTATTATTGAGATAAAATAGTAAACTCAATGTATAATAAATTATAAATAATAATAATAACTAATTTATAACTGATTGAGATTCTTATTTAATTCTAATTACCGTAATTCAATACTAACAAATTATGATGCACGTATTTAATACGTTTTTGTACTTTATATAAAAGCCAAAGTTCAAAGAATAAACTGGTTTTTATTGTTCCCTGTGACACTAAATGTTTAGATATTATCTTAAGATTTAGATATAGCTGCTTACGACATATTGTGATCGTTGAAATAACGAGTAACGGATTATATTTATGTACCGCAAGAAACAATCCTACATCCGTCTGTTTAACTTGTTAAACATGTTTTCTTTCTGTCAGTAGGAATAACTAGTTGTTTTTTTGGACGCTAATCAATGACAATTGGCACATATGGTAACGTGGCCTCAGATGAGATGCCAACAATAAATGACCATTCGTTCTCACCACATGGTTTTCCATACAATAAGTAAGACAAACCAGACCTCACTAGAATAGTTTTCACTCTAAACGCTATTAATTTCTCTTTTGTCGTTTTTGTGTAATTTTCATTTGTTAAAATAAAGAAAATTTACATCTTAAATTAATTGTAGGGCATCCGCCTAGTTAACGACTGACGCCTGCTAACGGAACACATATTAGATGGATTTCAAACTGGTTTCTTCGACAAAATATGGTATTAAAATAATAAAAAACAAAATTATCTGTACCTCATAATTAGTTTTTCTTATTTATGTAGCAGTATCGGAAAAAAGGATATTAAAAGCCTAATCCGATTCCGAGCTTGATAGATCAATAAGATCAATAAGATAGATTCAATAAGTTATGCGTGTTAAAACTTTAAAAAGCATAAATACTTGTTTGATAAAAAAATCCATATTTGATATTTCAATTCTGATATGCGAAACTACTCACACCTCGAACTAAAATCGACAAAAATGGGCCCTTCTTTATGCTGGTAACATATTTAAATAAGTTTCAAAATAACAGCAGTGGTCAAAACGGTGGGAAAATGTTATCTATCTCATTATGTTGTTTTGTCTAATATAATGCAGCCTTCCTCCTACTAAATATTTGTACAAAAAAAATATTATGTTGTTTTAGAACTAGACATTATAATTTATATTTTTTAGAAGCTGTAGGACGAATATTGATTATCTTTTTTTATTGTATAAGATGCCGTTTTTTGAATTCGTGCTTTAATTAAACCTTCATATTTTATTGTAAAATGTAAACAAAAACCCAAATTAATGAAACACAGCTAGATAAATAAGTATAACACATAATATATGATAATTTAATATATAAAATATCAAAATACACTAAATTGATAATCCACTTGGGAAGTACCCAATTCGTCTACACGCAGTAGCCTATTAACTTCTTATTAATTAACACCGGTAAGATAACAGAAACTTCTAATTCCTAACTATCCGGTGCTATAGAGGCACATATACTATTAGGCTACAAGTATAATATAGATTAGTAGAATTAAAGCACATTAAGGAAGAAAGAATATCGTAAATGGTTCTTCAAAGGAAATTTTTTGAGCATATGGCACAAATAATTTGACTATACAATATATTAGTGGCAAAAATCGCAAATAAATATTCAAACAGCGTTGATTTACATAGAATAATAACCAGTCCTAATCCAAAAACAAAATAATTAAACCTTGTCGGGTAATTGAGAATCTAGTCGTTATATTTCGCAAGCATTGTTGTTATTATGTTATGCAACTATATAACCCGGTATCTATTGACACCAACACCCAATATGTTATTATTAAATCATTGATGAATTGGTATTGTTAAGTTATGATTTTGAATCGCTTTCGGCAGGCCTAAAAGTACAAATACATCCGCCTTACAGCCGATTCAAAATATAAGATAATTTTTAATGTTCATACAATAGAAAATATTTATTAAAAAACACTATAAATAGTTACAATGTTTGTGTCACACGCGTTGCTATATTTCACGCCTTGACCAAGTTAATTGTTTTTTTTTTAATTGTGCGATTATATAGGGTCAGAAAATAATTTTTTGTCATTTCGTCTCCCACGCAAAACACTCATTGTACATACTAAACGATAATAACATATTACTGTATGTAACAGACCGGCTATAACAACAATATTGTTTTTAAATAATGAAGAAAATCCTAGTGCAGAATGAATACAAACACACAAATGTTGCACAATATAATTAAAAGTCAAGACTCAAGGGCGAGATTGTATGTGTGTTGATGGAGAGGATACGATGGTATAATTATTTGGTCCGTATAAATAACGGACGAGGGTCGACGGAAATATTTAATAATGACCTTATGGTGTTGAATAATGGTCGATTGTGAATAATTCTGAGAAAACAACATTTTAAAAACTGTCTTATAACAATATAACAGATATGGACAGACATTTTTAGAGACAGTGATTAAACACATAGATAGTGATGAATACAAAACATGTTTAGTTATTTGATACCATTTACCTCTTTTATATTAATAAAGAGTTAAGTGTTACCAATGTTTTCTGCAGAAAGGAGATATGTCTTTTATTTAGTTTTTCGTAGTTCTGCAAAATTATTAAAAAGTGAATAAATTCAACTTTCTGCAGCTGGCAATTTTTTTTTTTTTGCTACTATCCCAGTATTCTTGTCACCAATATCAAACATTTTGTTATTAACTTTTTAAAATAAGGGGTAAAACGTCCTTGAATGAAACACACTGGTGAATCATAAAAGGGACATATTATGTCTCCAATGTGAGTTGCTAGGCGACGACGGTGATGTAAAAAAATATAGTATAAATCCCAAGCGATAAAAACACATAGGTAGGTATATAAATAAATAAATAAAACTGCGCCAGACTGCGAAAGGCAAAACGCATATTCGGTTTCCGAGAATCGTGACAAACGCCACGTAAGGCTACTCTCGTCGTTACGTTTTATGTGGAACATTTTTCTGGCGGAAAACAAAACATCATGCATTTATAATATATAGCTAACATAAATGTGTAATATGTACACATACACAAGATAAAAATATAATGCATAACATTATGGTACACTTGACGCCAGTTGACGTCACGTTGACGGCCAGTAAAAAATACTCGTCAGAAAAGGACATTTTGTAAAATCATTATAAGTAATAATAATAAGAATTATTTGAAATTAAAACAACAAATTACATAATTATTCAAAGAGTACGACTCATTATCGCACGCAACGTAACCAGGGACGGATATAAGCGGTAAGGCAATAACCATGGCTTCAATATACTAGGTTATTGTATAATCCCCACTTTATTGTATTATCAATTCGCAAAATTGTAGCGTAAGGTTATATCATTGTTTTTTTGATAAGTATATACATAATACCTTTATAAAATAAATAAATTTGATCGATTGACCCTTACACTGTCATTTTATTTTTATAATCTGAAATGTCGATGGAGAGGGAGTAAAGGTGACCGTCACGCATCAAGCGGATTTTTTGCAATAGTGGTTATCAAATCATTTGCCGCGCTTTTTAAAATATTTTTAAACAAAAATCTTCAATGAATGTATGGACAAAAAAAATAAGGCGTACAAAAATTTGAAACTGTACAATAGCTCGCTGTAGGTATTATCGCGATACAGTTGCACACGTTGCGGAAAATGGTCGCAGTAAAATGAGAACCACTGTTTACAAACAGGGTGAGGCTCGAGCACGACGGCGGCCAACCGCCACTTCTTGAGTCGCGGACTATTGTATATTTAAGCCACGACAATAGTACTTCAAAAAAATAAAATCAGAGTTTTATAACGGCTCAACTTAGCTCATCACTCTTGAATTAAGAGTTTATATGGAAACGAAAGTCGTTTAGAAATAGATAATAAGTCAAGTATGATTTTCGCAATACTTTGGTTGTGCACATTTTTTCATGTACTGATACTAAAATACCAAGACAGCCACGTCAATAAGAATTACCCATGTCCACGACAATGCGTGTTTAGGATAAACCGCTGCGCCGTTACTTGAATAGGAATGCCATTAACTAACTGATTTCGGATAAGTGCACTAAGTAAAACAACTTACCAGAGTACGATGAATTAGATGTCTCGTGCAACTTGAATGTGAAAGGTATGTGCACTTTCATCATTTTCATTTGTGGAATCCTAGGCTGGACTTGATGCACTCCGTTTCCGCCAAACATCAGCTCTTCGCCGTGTAGCCAAAATACTGTCATGTTCCTGCGAACAAAAAACAACACGGTGTTATTAAATACACAATATTATTATGAATACAACGGATATACTTAAGACACAATACGATAGTATTCAATACTACACCAATGGAATTAAATTGAAAACCGCCGTACAGCTTAACTTTTTGTTTGTAACAAATCGCTACGCGAAAGAGAAGCAAAAACACTGAGTGTCGAATGGTCGGTCAACCCTAGAGTCCAGACCAGTTTTTCGAGACATGACCAAGTTCACTGCACTACCTATAGATGATTATTAATCTACACGTAAGTGGTTGTGCGCATGGCGGTGGGGGCAAGTCACAGAAACTCGTCATCGGGGTCATCGCGCTTAAATGCTGACAAATTTCCTAAATCCGTTAAAAGAACAAGTCACCGCGGCGGTTTAACTTCCAAATTTGTTTCTTGTAATGTATTTGCCATGCTCGAAAGGGGAGGTTGAAATTAATTCGAAAAACCACTCTTCCTCCAAAATACACGAAGTCACATGCTAACAAAGCGTAAGTGTTCAGTTGAACAACACGTTTGAGAATCATTTGTCCGTTATAAATAAACTGGTTATGGTTGAGGCTTGCATAAATTAAACGCCACGCACTATTTTTGTGGAATAATTGTAATTCCACAAAATATATTACATGTTTATACATACACAACCTAATAAAATTGTTAAGATATTTATTTTCGCTTCCCACCCTCCTACCTAAATAAGGCATAATCGCTAAAAAAAATAGTTTTAAAAGAAAATTATTCAACGTCATCTTTCATTTTTCATTAAAATAATACGTTAAAAGACTTTAGTTTTTGTTTAGGCGGATACAAACTCTAGAGTTTTAGAGCTTGAGCTTCCCCACCTTAGTCATTTTAAAACAACTTTTCAACCTGTTTGGGGTTTACACAGTTTTGAAAATGAATAAAAGTTAGTAGCTGCATCAAACAAATAGGAAAAGAAAAAACAAGGATTTTTACAAAATGTTTAATATGTTAAACAATTTCGAATTATTCTAAAATATTTTGAGAACCTTTTACATTTAATTTATATAAATATAATATATGATAATACGATGTTTGTTCGAAAGTTTTTATTCAGCCAATATAATATTTTTAATTTTCTAAAAAAATTGTATTAACCATCTGCCATTTCTTATGTATAACTAACCATTCATTGTATTATAAATGTTGTTGAGTATTATCCTTTGTTAATGAAAAAAATGACTATCCATGTATTGAGTTATTGATAAGATGTCGAGTAAATCGGCCCCAACATTTGTATGTTTTCTGCTATAGTGTATGTAAATCTGTGATATAGCCGACCTACCTTATTTAAGAGGTAAATGTTTACAAATAACAACTGATATAACGTAATGTACATAAACCTTTATCAATATAATACAGTATAAACATTTACTATCTTAATGAGCTATTTTTTCATTACAGAGATAAAAAATCAGCTATCAAGATAAACATTATCTTTAGAAAAAAAAATACCCGTAAAGTCTAAGCGTTTGCGTCATGCACTCATTAAATTATAACTTTCCGTTAGAAACCATAGAAAATAACGACTTTTAGAATTTTGGTAATAATATTATTATAATTATATCTTGGGTACATCCACGTAGTATATGAATCACCAACCTGTCGGTGCGGTGTTCATTTGTTTTCGATTGCCAACATAAAAAGCTTTCAAACCTTTCCTAGAATTAAATTAATTAAAATGTGTCATTATAAGCACACTCGGGTGTACTGACGGGAAAAAGGAAAACGTAATAAACATAAAACCTTGCTATATGCAAAAAAAGTTCAACGTATGTACCTTTGAAAATAATACAATTATTTTTTCAGTAAATGGAATTTTACATGAATATTTTTAGAAACCAATACTTCAACTCCTAATAAAGCTGAATATCACCCACACGCAGTATAAGGCAATAGACACAGTGATAATTAAATAATGTTGATTAATGTCATGAACCATACACGCTATTGATTTATCGATATTAGCGCTAAAATTATATACCAATATACTATTTATATCAACATGAATTCATGTGTTTTTTTGGATTTACCTATAAATGTTATTGTTTGCCCTTACAGTTTGAAAATATTCAAACAGGCTCTGTTATTACCAAAGTGCGTTGATTTTCTGAGATACAATTAAAGAGTAAAAGAACGCATTGCCTAAAAAGACAAAGAATGTATGCAGAGAATCAGGTAGACGAATTTACATAAAAAATAAAAATAATTGTATGACTCACTCGGTAAATTTCAGTTACATAAAAAACCAATGCGATTTCATATACATCAGTGACTAGTTTTCACAGTCTGCGTATTGGCCTACCGGCGATATACAGTGGGATCATAACATCTCCTGGTCGGGAAAAACGAGTTTGTAGTGTGTTTTTTCCGTTACTTTTATTTTCTCTTCTCTCATACGGCTAAACAAGTTTTGCGACCGTCACAAGTCGATACAATCACGCCATAATAATAGCATATGCATGTGTTGACCTATTAAACCAACTCGTTCGACCACCGTCGTCTGATGTCCCGTTATTCCCGTGCTTCTCTTAGCCAGAGCTCCGGGAACTACGACCGACTCTAAGTCAACCGTGTTTAGGTTATCATTTATTGCCGTCAATTATGCTGTTCTAAATATGCATAACGGTTACGATCGATCGCCCAAGGTCGACGGCGCGAACGTGCCTTGTGCACTGCGGTCTTAAGCGGGCCATACACAAGAATTACAATGATGATAGTCCTCTGAATTGACTATCCTATTAGCGGGCATTATCCGACTAATGATGTCGGTACACGGCAATCAAGACAGTTAATCTCCGGTAACCTATATTGATACTCAGTACTGCAGACATATACTATTCCTAGCACAAATTTCAACCGACACAATGCATCTATTTTCGATAGCATACTAATGGGGCACCTGTTGTAACCTGGTCAATAGTGAGTGTCAACCATCTTGATCATTGGATAAAAAAAATCAAACATATTTTTGAAATTCATCAGTCACAAAATTAGACTGTCAATCATCTTTGATAACTCTATACCCGCGGTCAATTCCGATTTTCATTCCAAAAGTGCATTACCCAATAGGAATTGACAGTGTTCACTACAAAGTATAAACAACGTTGGTTATTAATGTTGTTGCTTCGAAAAACTTTACCTTCTCGGTTCGATGAAAACTGAGAAGGCAAAGTTAAGTATCACATAGTAGTGCGAATTGACAAGTAAAGTTACCGAACAAGTTTTAACGACTCGACCAGGCGAGATTAGCCTTTGCCATAGTTTTAATACTTACTCCGGCTATAAACCGAGACTAAACTATCCAACAGATTGTGTATAAACTACCTAACGACGAATACGAGAAACGGAGGGTAACTATAAGAAGAGTGAGAGAAACACAAACGCCAGTCGAAAAAAAGGACTGATGACACGTCGTGTGTATGTATATTACGCAAACCATTCAGGGGTCATCGCAGTCGGTGAAACCAGCGCAGAACAAGGCTATGTCCGCCATATAATTTTGTTATAGGTATATTTACTGTATGTATGGCGTTGATTTTATAATATTCATGCCCTCAGCAACTATATTATGTAGTCAACAACACTTTATTTGTGTACCTAGTTTATGTCTGTATAATACTCAGTATGTTTTGAAAGCAAAATATTATTTTTAAATTGTAGTCATACTTATCACTACACTGATTTGCAATATTAGCTCACAAAGCCCTATTTGAAAAGGGACGGATGTTAAAATCCAAAAATGTTTTTCCGTCAGTGAATAACCACACATTTTTTGGTATTATTCCTATATTGGTAGCATAAACCTGCACAGGTATCATCAAGGAATTTTTTTATAATCCTAATAGAAACAAGTTTTTTAAAATGTTGTAACTTTCCCCGAAAATTTAGTTGAGCTACGGCCTTGTTAACATTTAAAATCTAAACTACTAAAGTGTAGACCCATTCAGTATACGTATCTAAAGATGTATCTAACTAAAATCCCTGTAATATCAACAGGCAACGGCCAACAATAAACATGTTTATGTGATTGTGTAACCCAAACGCAAGAACTATAAAATAAACATATATTATCTATGTTAAAAACTTGTGTAACTTTTTATACAGAAATAAAAAGAACATTTTTTTTAATTATCTTTATAAATATGTAATCCTATTAGTTATTTTCATATAATATTCAATATAATTATACCCGTGCAATGCAACCGATTATAAATCAGGTTTTAAAAGAGCTGGCTATACAAAATATTATATTTTATGCTTACAAGTATCTGTAATTTTACATGCTTTTCAAGCAAACACATTTTTTAATTTAAATTAGACTACTAACAAGTATATTTTTGAAAATACTCATGGTTCCAAGTTATATATCTATAGTATAAAAGTAATCTATAGTAGTAGGTACCATCAAGGTGTACTGAATAAATTGTTATAAAACAAAAGGCTGAAGAACATTTTAAAACAATATTCATCCAACTCATCGCTTAACAAGATATTTTAAGGCCAGTTTTTTTTAAACGTAGGTAAAAAGAAAAATTGAACAGTTATATAACCTTAATAGGTTCGTTCGGTGATAATAAAAATATCATATTTATAACCTAACACACACGTTTACGCCGCCGCTGGTAGTCAATTAAAAATAATATTACTGTAATAAATTCCTATGTCAGCAGTAAATAATTTTCAGTTGCAAGAAACGTCCTTAAAAAAATTAACCTATAACAGCATTAATAGCTAAAGAAACACATAAGTAAATTTAGACTCCTTTTAAATGATTAGATTCCGCTTGTTCGCATGCGAAAATATATGTTATTATCGGATAATTATCTTTGAATGCTAAAAACAACATAATATAAAGCAGGTGTTTTTTTTTAATTATACACAACGTGCTGTGGTCAAAATAAAACAAAAATTGATCGTTTGGCTAACTGTAGAAATCGTTAATGTTGCGGAGAACGCATGTGAAATCGCCTTACAAGTTTCAACCACTTACACCAAAAAGAAACCGAAAATCATTTGTTGTTAAACATTAACGCGGACAACCGAAATTTAGACCGCACCACGCAGATACCGAAATTTACAATACATACAACATGAATACATAATTTGTGGTTGCATGACTTGCGGTCAAAGTAAATGATTTATAAATCTTACTATAAAAAATAAATATGTATATATTATTAAAAACACAAAGCAAATTATTAGCTTAATAATAGGTACCTAGGTAAAAGTAATATATTTTTTTTCCAGGAGATATGACGGACTGGACACCCTTTAAACCCTTTTAGACCTTTACTGTAAATTATAACACTATTGCGATACGTTTACTGGAGTAAAATGATCTACACTTATATTATGCGATAATAGTTTACACAACACGGTACATAGCGGAATAGATTAATTAATAATTTCATACATTTGATGCTTATGTATTTTTTACTGCTGATAATAAGTGCTAAAAATTATCAGTTCATAAGTTAATTGTAATGTTTATTTTACAAAAAATGTAAATGCTATTAAACGTGAAATCGTTTAGATAGTAATTAATGTACGATGAAAGTACAGTTTCAAATGCAACAGCTATAATAATAGTTTATATTTATTATACTATAATTCATCCAACATTATCAGTTCTAGACACTATAAGGTCTATTATGTATGGCATAACATGAGTTTCAGAAATATTTACGGCGAATACCACCGTCCACCGCGAGACAGTAGGAGGGTCAATGTTCTACACGCATCAAGACTCTAGATACACAGACATCAAGACAAGATTCCCATTCAAGTTGTAAGGCAATTGGCACTGCATAACGGTGTTATGAAAAGACTAAATTAACTGACTTGGTATCTATCTACTTTCAATACTTTGGACGGTACGTTAAAAAAAATAACAATACAATCCCACTATTCACCTATCAACTATTTCAGTGAATCTATTAAATATATAAACAAGAATAATGTCCACGATGTTCACCGAGCTAGTACATATTAAACTGGATTTTTCTTTTAACAGTTTAAATAGTTGTTTAAATAGTACACAATATGTAAGTGAGCCAATCGTTTTCCGATTTCGATTAGTTTCTGGGTTAACTTGGCATCTATCATACATCTGATTGTCCACTAAAAATCGTAACTATTGAACATTACAAGCCATTTATTATACTGATATACCAAGTAGTTAGTACACATATTCGTTATGTATCCCAACGAATTGTTAATAGCTTAAAGTAGTGATTTGTTAAAGCTAATTAGTAATTACCGATATCTTGTAAAATGTTCTGCCTTGATAATTAAAAACATTTAATTCAATAAAATCGTTTAAACGAGATTTCGATTTATCGACTTTCCATTCTCTCCGTTTTAATGATAAACTAAAAATACAACTTTCAATTTTAATTCAAGCGTATTGCGATAATGTGATTAATTAATTGCTTTTTTTTTACAATTATTTTTAAGTACCTAATAGTTTTAGCATTTGTAACTATTTGTATTTTAAGAGAAAGTCGTAAGTCTCAGTAACATAGTATTATTATGCCCTCGCGGACTGTTACGTTCTCAAATGCGATTTGAGAATTTCAGGTCTAATTATTACTCTAAAAACAAATAAATATGTAAAAAAAAGCATCAGTAGACAGTATACTTACTGCTATGGTAAAATACTTCTGTGGATAGAAGCTACGTGTAACATACAAAACAATTCTTATTGACAATGCAAAATTTAAAAACTAAACGGAAAATTACAAACAACTTGACACGGTCCTTTAAGAGTAGCAATTAATTAAAAATAAACAAGCGTGTTGTGCGCAAGATAAGTGTTATTAGTTTTCCTGATAAATGCAAAACACAGAATAAACCGTTAGAACGATGACGAAAAAATTGCATAGTATCGACAAGAGCTGTATTAATAATACGGTTAAGGGAAAACCGTTTTTTAATTAAAACGATGAATATTTAACATACAGTTCGTAATTGTATTGCAGATTTGTACTAAAAAAATAAGCCAGTAAAAAAATACGGGCGTTTGGCCTACACGCTAAATAAATCATATATCATAATTATAATATCTAGTTATTAAATATATAAAATCTGAATGCAACGTCCCATTTGAAATAAGCCTTGTCTAGACAAAATTGCATATAAAAAAGTGCAATCGGGGTATGAAGGAACACTTGACTATTAATAGGTATTCGCCTTGTTTTATTGCATAGCCCGTTAAGGAGTACGATAATAATAATTGAAAACACCAAATAAATATAAACCATAAAATAATTATTATTTTTTTAATATAATACTGTTGAATAATATCGACATTGTCGGTCGATGGAAGTGACGACTACACTGACTTCAGTACGCGAGTTCCATTGGAATTACACGATCAATGATACTATATTTTTATTATATAATTATATAAAGACAAACGACGAATGGTGTCGACCGTTTGCATAAATAAAAGAATTATCACTTGGAAGGACAAATGTACTAGCCGACGTGACCATGGACGAAAAACTTTTAGGCGTCATTATGTTAATGATAAGAAAAAAAACACAACCTCAACACGGACTTCGGATAAAAATCAAGACTGATGAATTCGGCGGACAAGATTAACGAGGGGTCCTAGCTCCTAGTTTTTTCAGTCAATTATTATTTTTTATGATTTCTTTCTAAAGTTGTTCACATGTTCGGGCTCGAAAATCTTTGTTATCCAGATTCTAGTTCACGTTATTTTTTTTTTTTTTTTGGCAATCGCACTATTTTTCACTTACAACACAGAAGTGCTAGTCGACGTACCGTTCCTAAGGATCCAGCGGATTTCCGTGGCACAACAAAATGGGAATAGAGCCAAGAAGTCTTTTTGTTTTTCTCATAAATAGACACGCGTACTAGGAATTTATGTATTTAATAAAAATTAATAGACGAAATTATTTATCTTTGTTTAAGAGTACTCACATATGAGATTCACATTTTTTATTTATCGGTGCTAATATCTAGCATAATCATTTATTTAATAATGTTGTACAAGCGTATTTCTACAACCGTCTCAATCTAGACCCGGGTAAAATAAAGTAGAAACGGTTTGCGAAGATACCATTAATAATATAATTGGTACCAAATTATAATTGGTCTTGTTCGAAAACCAATTACTAGATATTTACTTGTGCAAACAAAAATTAAATAACCATAAACGCAACTTTTGATCCCCTTAGGGATGCCTACCACTTGAAATTTTTAAATTATTACTCCCGAAATATTTGTATTGAATCATTTATATTAAAACAAGTATGTTAACATGATATTACATAAACATTTACGGTTTTCAATTTTAATTCCCTGTACCTACTTCCGGTCCCGTAATCGGTAATACATATTTAAACAAGTGCAATTGGTATTCTAGAATTTGAAAAAATCGAATTATTCGAGTTTTGAAGATACAAAGTTCTAATTTTAATCTCAACTCTAATACACACACACGGTACACCTTCAGTCTAGTTTTCAGATCTTACAACTTTTGGCCTGAGATTAGTGTACAATTTTTAATCTATAGACAACGTTTATATAAAATTATCTAACGGTAAAAAAACTTTTAACTCGTGAGTCCATACAAAAAAAACGTATTGTAAAGCCAATACTTTCTCAATTACTTATAAAAGATAAAAAAAAAACACTATACCTATTTATATGCAAAAATAGAGAAGGGCATAGACCCCAAATAATTCTGTATTCCCTCTAGAAAGCAAAACTCAAACTCATTTCTTTAGTATTTCTGAATGAGAATATCCTTTTAAGATTAAATAGAGGGTGTGTGGGTATACTGCTCAGTCTGTCATAAATCATAATCATAGCCCCCATCCCTTAAATTAGTCACCAAATTTTGACTATGCAATATGTACCTATTAAAAAATATACCAACACTGAACACAATGTACCTATTCTACACTACAAATTCGTAAAGCATTTGAGCAGAAGGAAAAATTCCCGCAGTGCCCCCCTCCTTTGAGGAAATTTCCAAAATTGTTCAAACCTATGCCGAACTCATGTAGTCCCCGAAATCGCCACCGATTCGTACATAGTTATAAGTAATTTAAAAAATTTACAATAAAAATAATAATAATAACGTTGAGCTCATTGTGATAAGGAGACTATGTCGTTATCAGTATGTATTTCTCGTTATCGCAATGTTCGCTACAACAACAACCGTGTTTTTAAAGATGTAATCTATAATACAAATAAATAATAAAAAAAAATATAAAATAATAATATGTGTACACGGCTTGCGTGACTCACCTCATAATCAACAGAAACATTGCGCAGAAACATATGATGACGGCCAGCACCGACAGTATGTTGGAGAACTCGGCAATGGACACGAGCATGGCGAACGTTGAGAATAACATGGTCGCTGCGAGTTCAACCGGACCGCGATTTAGTGTTCAAGCTAATAAATGCACGCAGATTTCTAAAAAATGTAAATTAACAATCTTAAAAATTTACAACACGTTAAAGCCGAATTTGAGGGGCGCGAAAACCCCTTGACGAGCAGTCCAACTCATATACCTAACAGAACCCAAACGGACGACGTGTATAACGGCGAAGTTCTTTCGTTATTTTTATATTTTACTTAAGATATCTAATACAATATTTATTAACATTGATATTATACTATGTGTTGTAAAAAAAATAAACTATCGTCCCGGTTCGATGTCGGTCTCAGAAAATTTGTTTTTTGTTTTGTCGGTTTTATTTAATAACGCACTGATTAACTCAAACGGCTCACGCGCAGGCGCACTAATAATGTTATTGTCGCGATGATAATGTCAATATTAATTTACGTTATTATAGTATATTATTATAATTTATAAAATAATGTGTTGTTGTGATAACAGTGGCGGCCGCGTTGTGATAACAGAACGGTACAAACGCGCTCGGCACACTAAGCCGTACGCGGCGATAGTAGTATTATTATTATTATTGCGTTTTTACTGCGATAGGGTCGTTGTCGACGTCGTGGGCAGCTGCTCGTTCTTATAGGGTGCGGGGGCGACAGCGGCGGCGGGTTCTCGTTCCACGGTCGCAGAGATGGTATTATTTTTATACCTATATATATATGTATATATATCGTTATTGTGATTATGTATATATGATAATAAAAATAGAGAGAGAGTGTATACAGCGATAACGGGCGTCGCGGGAAAACACACACACGCAGAGACACTGAACGCCAACGGACCGCGCGCGTATCACACCATTGTGAACAACCGCAGGTCTCCAACGGCAGGCAACCAGTGAATGTGAAAGTAGCGCGCCGGTCTCGCGTGCCACCGCCGCCTTCCCCTCCCGTACTTTACCGATTACCACTACTGCGACCGCCGCCCCTCCCACTCACGCTGCCTCCCCGTGTTATTAATTAATTAGTATTCAACAATGACGTATATAAATAATGTCATTATTATTAGAAATAATATCATTTTTGTTTACTCCGGCAAGGAGAGAGAAACAACGAAAAATTTTGTTTTAACCGAAGGCGTCTACTGTACCTACCTACTTGCTGATGCCGAAATTCGAAAAACAAACAATTTATAAAATAAGTAATGACCAAACTTCTACACATTGATTCGTGGTCTAGAAGTCGAAGATACAAAACAAAGTGCGTCTCCAAAAACGTTTTAATCGGATATAATCGTCCGCGAACGGTCTAAATTCGAAATTTACTTTATATTATGATTTTTTTATATGCGAATAAAGTCTGGTACCGTCCAAACTTGTTGATCAGGTCGCGATTTGCATTCTCGACATCACCGTGTTCTGTGTTCAGACACTGTGATTGTTTCTTTTTCTTACTTCTCTCTTTTTACTTCTCAGACTTTCTTTTTTTTTAGACACACTTTTATTGCGTTTGATATATTTTTTTTACCAAACGGTTAATATTCACAAACAACACGGAGTCAGGGGTTCAATTTGTTTGGTTATGTTAATAGATGCTCCGGGGAATCATTCTCAAAACCACTACACATACCATCCGCGATGAAAACATTTGCGGACTTGGCCTTTTCCCGTATTGGGCTTCTAACATATTATCTCGATAATTATTTTTTGATTAAATAGTGTAATTGGTGTAGGTATCATTATTTTTTTTTTAAATATAGTGGGAAAATTGTCTGCTGATAAAAAATAATAAAAAAAATGCAAAAATATGTACCAATACGCTGTGTGTGTCCCAATACGTGTACTATAGGAATTGTTTCTCATTACCGAACAATTTTCCCAAACCCTTTGTAAAAAACTGAAATGGCACCGTCTCCCGCCTGAGTTATTCTATACGTCAATATTAGCTAGGTAATATATACATCATACATTTTTTTTTTAATTATCTCACGAAAAAAATAAACCACCATAGTCCAAACCTACACCAGTCTAATCCAGCACAGTCCAAACCCAGAACAGTATAAGTTAGAATAGTTGGTAAAATCTGAATGTGATTTCACCACAATCAAACACTTCGTTGAGAATCTAAAAATAGTAAGAACCCAGCACAGTAAGAAATGGCCAAAGTGGGATCCAGTATCCTCAGATTTGCATTGAAGCGTTATCTTGAATGTTATTTTATTAATATCTCTAAATTAGTGGTCTAGAAGAACTAAATAATATACCTAAATTAGATCTACATAATTTAGCATATTATGACAAAAGGTTCCTAAAAATAAATCATTATTAAATCTTCTTAGCTAATGCATCGAAACTATAAATATAGATTTTACTCTAACAGGCTTGAAAATAGGTCAAAATACATATTTTCGTAGTCGCTAACTTATAGAAAACTTTATCAGCAGTTTTATGTTTTGCCCCTTATTTAACGGATTGTGAGTGGAGAAGGGGGGGGGGTGGATATTAAAAAAAAAATACTTTAATGTTCAAATTAATTTTTGTTTGGTATACTTGTTTTGTGTAACAGGTCATATAATGAATTCTAGTTTGTAACACCATAGAAGTCTTCAAAATCCACATTTTTAATGTTTTAGCCATTTTTTGAGTCAATCCAATGGGTTTAAAAAACCGCTATTTAAGCCACTTAAAAATCTTAGAAGTTACAATTATTAAATATTATTACATTATAAAGCTAAGTATAATGTTCTGATAAAAAATTTACTTTGACTCTAAATTGCTTTCGGATTTCAACAAATCCTAAATCCAAAAGAATTTTTCTTTTTGATGTTGCGTCTTCATTTTAAATTTTCATCGGAAATATTTTATTTAGGTACACAGCTTTATAATGTAATGTAATTATATATGGTATTGATAAATTGATAAAAAAAAAACTTTAAAGCAATTAATAAAAAATAATTATTGTATATTATTATTTATTATAATATAGTATACATACTTTTTTATTTAATACAGATCTCTTATTAACCATTTGATCAAGAGAAATTTTTTAAGACTATATTTATGAACTAAGAGTTGGAAGGAGTATTTAAAAGTAAACATAAAATATATAATAACTATAAAAAAAGAACATGTACACCTTTCACATTTATGAGTATGCACCTGTGTGATTTTTGCTTTATATTATGAAAAGAGAAATCTATAATAATTATTAATTTTTTTTGATAATATTTGTTTTTATAAAGGCTATTGATGAAATGATCATAGTTTAATGCGGGGCTTAATAAGTATTGATTATACAGTATTTTTATTTATATATATTTTTTTGTAGACTGATTTATTAATATAGATCTATAGACTGTCCATAATTCGCACAAAAAATGTTATAAAGCCCAATTACGTTATAATGACCACACTGACTCCGTTGTTCTGTTTTTTTTAATTAAATTTTAATGTTGTTTTTTAAAAGATCTTATTTGTTAAAAAATAATTATTCCTTTTCTTATACAATAATTTTTAAATAATAATAATTACTGTTACATTATGAATACATACCATATATTGTTGAATATAAAATAAACTTTTTTCGTAGTTGAAGCTCAAAAAGTGATCAATAGCCATAGCTAACTGCTAACTCTCTAGAGAAAATGTTGTTTTCATATTATTCACAACTTTGTCTATTATATCTCCAAAACAGCCTCACTGATTTCTTCATGTAGGAAGCTTATAAATCAAACATTGTAGGTATATAAAAGTTACTTTATTGGTTCACCTCTTCCACTTCAAAATCGAGTATACGGCCTATCTGGTTAATTTATTAAATAAAATATAGTCAGATAAAAACTTATTTTTTTGGACGTAGTTTTGTGACTTCATATTATATATATTAGAACATTAGATTAAAGTTAGATATATAGTGAGACTATAACATTTACAATTTTTTCATATAACTGTAGGTAATTCAAGTTTTTTTATTAAGGAAACCGAAAAACCGCGGTAAATAACCCTCTGATCGTATTTCATTTCTAAGGTGCTGTGTGAGTGAATCAACAATTATTATTAATAGATATCTGAAAAATATGTTAATTATATTGTCGATTTCAATGGCAACGAATCATTGTGAAACCCGAAGACCAACCCTAAACGTATCTACTTTGTTACTGATTTATTTCCATTAATTATGAATTTTCTAATTATTTAGTCTAAGTGTTCAGTAAAGTATTCACAATTAGAAAATTAAATATCTCTAGTCATGTTTTTGTATTGCGAAAACTTAAAAAAAAAACACTATGACAATTAACACAATAACAAACACATTTATTATCAACGAAATGATTTATAATAATTAATACTTTTTATGAAAATTATTGAGTCAAACGTTAATTTGAAAGCGATTTAATCATTTTCTGTTATACTAATTCTTGAAGCGCTATTAACTATCTATCCAATATGATACACCACCACTACACCCCCTTGTACTAATGTGCTGTTTTTTTAATTGTTGCTTGTTATTACTGCTTAATTAGATGTGTCTAAAAAAATACAAACTATAAATAGAGAGGACACGTCGAAAAAATGTTCCATTAAAATTTGTACTCGATCTGACTATGTTTTTTAGGTAGGTATACTGTAGAGCATATAAAAACCTTAGGAAACAGGGCTTCCTTTTAGCACTGATATTTTCACGGGAGTTTCTTATTGTTATCCTGGTCCGGAACAGCCGTATGGGGGGATTCCGTAGGACCTATAACAGCCATAAAGTTATTCCTACGCGGGATTGTCTTGGCAAAACCTTTACGTTCCATAATATTTATTAAAAATTATATGAGTCCATGCCCCGTCATGTTTCCACGGTTATAGTGGAATATTTTACAAAATATCCATAATGTTACGCAACCTCGACTATTTCTCTCCGTGCGTTCTCTAGGGACGCTTATACATATAAAATATTACATGAGTTTTTTTTATTTTTGTTGTATAAATATAGGTATAAACACCTATAAATTATCTTTTTTTCTTTCTTAATAATTCGTGATATGTGTCTGTGTGTTTTTCTTCTCCGTCAATACTACTGGACGGATTTCGTTCGATTCCTTGCATCACGGCGCTTAGAATGGGCTACGTTGATTTCGCCGTACTTTTCGTCTTCGTTGATATCCTGTCTGAAGTGACACATGGTAGATAGGTAGTTAGCGTTTAAGTTGTTGTTGCTAGCCTAGGATTGTGTATATTAATTGTTCAATGGTGATACCATACAATTTCAAACATTTCTCTACCAATCAATATGGATATTTGCATTTCCGAATCAAATTAAAACGTTTCCGTCAGATTGCACAGTATAAAGGGTAGAGTGGGAAAACATCTAGCGCCCGTTGTATTTCAACAACAACGGGCTGAGCTGCTAGTTAATAATACGATTGTAATTACAAATTGGTATATAGCCATATAGGTAGGTGTACTCGTTAGATACTATATTATGTAGGTAAGTTGGTTAATGGAGTATGTGTAGTACACATACAAATTGTACACCTTGGGGTAAAGCATCGTTCCCTAACTACATCGTTGATAACAATGAATGATAACAAACAATTCAAATTTTAGTATAACCAAATAAGGTATTTCGTTCATAGAGTGTAGTAAATTTGAGTTATTATAATGATATTACAAATACGAAATCGCTGTATTTAAACAAATAGTTACAGTTATTATGAATACAATTTAGTTAGTATATTATTACAGTAAGTGATAATAGCGATTATAAAGAACATAACAAATCTATATAATTGTGGTGACAATAAACGTTTACCATGGAAATTGATGATGAAGACGTAGTTATCACTGTGAGTTAAGCTTGCTCAGTACCATGTCATTTACGTTTGTTTATTATACGTTTCAAAATCTATAGATTATATATTTATTCATAGGTATCTTCTTAAGTTAATTTATATTTTAGGACACAGATTTGCATAAGTATTTACAAATGAAAGGATATACAGAGTTTGAAGTTACGGGTAGAAAAATTCCTGGCGGACAAAATAAAAAAAAGGTAGCTATTAAATACTTATAAATGTATTTGTCTTTAGCTAATTCAGTATTCATAATAATTACAGAACATCATATGTGTGTTAAAAAACTAATAACTATTTTTAGTTTTGATGTGGAGCGAGAAAGTATTCTTTTTACAATGTGTTTGGATCTATGAGATCAACAAAACAACCTTGCCGATTTCTTTAAGTAGCAAACTTGTAGATAAAAAATTTTACCTAAAAGTTATTTTATTGGTCCAAATTTAAAATATTCATCTTTCCACTTCAAAATCGAGAAAATTCATATATTTCTTTATCTTAAAAATTATAGTGCTCTTAAAATGTCATTGTATAATTAGTTCTAAACATGTATGGAACATTTTTTAGACATAGTATTATTGATGTACATTAACAAACCAAAAACATTTCTTAAACCCTTTTATCTAGAAGGGATAGAAACTTTTTCTTTATTTTATTTTTTGGACGTAGTGTTATAACTTCAGGTCTGAAAATAAGATCTGCAGTTAGATCTATTGATCTAAAAAATTTTCTCAAAAATCTGTAATCCAGCTAATTTTTTATTAAGAAAAAACTAAAAATACTTGGGAAATGAAACTATAACGATAAAACAGTAGACTACACTTAACCATATAAAATGTTTATGTTATGTGTGAATGAATTAACAATCAATAAGTATCTTAAACATTTGTATATTATATAATAATTTATTTCCTATTTTAGGATTTTATATCCAAGAAGTCTTTTAAAAAGAAAAATATGTTTGACCAAAAATGTAAAAAGGTAAATTATATTTGTATATAAACAAATACAGTAGTTATTAAAACTACTAGTAATTTAATATGTATTTGTACTAAACTACTACATATCATTTTTTTTAGGATTTCGGTTTGTGTAGTATTTTAATCAAAACAATCTTGGAAAGTCATTTAGTATTTAAAGAAGATGCTTTATTTATCAAAAAATTTGTTCCACCAGACTTTATGAAGTATCCATTTTTTTTTACAAAAAGAAATTGGTTTGTTACTTGTATATTATAGTATTTATATTTAAATAACAATTTGTTTAGTAGTATAAATAAAAAAATATATTATATTATTATATAATTTTTCCACTAGAAAATAAAACTATAGTGATAAATTCTCACACATTCTTGGATGAATTCTCAGTAATTTAGTTCATACAATAGAATTTACTATGAGAATTGTACAGCCTTGTTTTTAATTGTTTATGAGTATCTGTCTAAAAAAAATCTCTTTTCCTAATCTTTGGTTGTGAATATAAACAAAAATAATGATATAAAACAATTTTTTTGTTTTTTTCAGCATTACTCTTCTTTTGTTATGCATTTCCTGTGGTCTTTTGAAGGTTTACTTACCTAATTCCTTTGATGAGTGGACAACCTTAGAAATGTTTTGTTTATGGTTTGGTCATATTCTATTAGAGATATTTTTTGACTGGTTCAAAAAGAAGAAAATGAAAAACACTTTATCTAATACTATTAAATCCATGGAAAAATCATCGCTACTTATTCAAAAAATAGTTAATTTCTTACAGGATTGCAATAATCTTCATAGTGTTTATAGCAAGTAAGTACATATTTTTAACTGAGATATAATAGGAGTACCTAATAACATATTTAAAAATATTTACTGTTCAAACCTACAATGAGTCTGTGTATATATTTTTGTGAAATTGAGTTAAATTCATTAAGTTTGAAATAAAAAACATAGCCATATGTTTTAACAACTTTTCATTTCATTTTTTAAACTATGATATATATATATATATATATATATTTATTTAGTAGTTTATACTTGCATCCTTCAAAAAAAGGTTATTATTTGGTCAGTTTAGAGGTATAAATATCCTTAATGTTAACTAGATAGTATTATTTTAAAAATACTGTTGTATAACTATAAAATTAATTTAATTGTAATAAAACGAAATTTTTTTTAATTTTTAGTTCTGGTTCAAGTTCAAACATAAATACTGATACTTTTGTGTATCTACTGATGCCGGAGATGAAAAATTCACTATTAACTCTAGTTCAGGACTTGATTGATAGGCTTGTACAAAGTATTTCTGAAGTGCATAGAAAGTTTCCATTAAAACAATCGGTTTCCAAAGTTATATATTTATACCTCAATGACTGCAAAATAGATCTTGAGAACTTGTCATTGGAAAACATTAATGTAAGTGTCTTTTACAATATTATTGAAATATTAAATTTTAATTATTCTATACTCCGTCTAAACGAAAGAAAGGCAGCATTTTGCACATTCTGAATGAGGTTTCTAGCACTGCCAGACCCGTCGAATGCCCTCTACACGTCTGGTTATTACTGAATACTGTTGACCAATGGTCGCCATTACCATCCACGGTGTTACATGTGCAAAGAGAATTAGGCAAAGTGCAGTGTGGAGATGCGCAAGATGGACTGGATTTTGTTATGCCACACAACCGTTCTTTTGTAAGACAGAGTATTAGTGATTGGAATCCGAAAATCCGGATTTTCACAAAAAACGCTATTTAAGCTACTTAAAAATTATATAAGTATTAAAAAAATTTAACAATATAAAGCTGTGTACCTAAGTAAAATTTTTTTGATAAATATGTAAAAATAAAACAAAACATCAAAAAGATAAACTGCTTTTAGATTTCGAATTTATTGAAATCCAAAAGCATTTTATAGACAAAGTTAAGTTTTTATAAAAAAAAATGTTATCAACAAATTTTACTTAGGTACACATCTTTATTTTATAGTAGTATTTAATATTTATAAGATTTTCAAATGGCTTAAATAGCGTTTTTTTTTTTAAATCCGGATTTTCGGATTCCCATCACTACAGAGTATACAATATGCTTGTTTAAAATTTATGATAAGTGTAATGAATTTAATTTGTTACATGTTTCCAGAAAGCAAAGTACACTTACTTTTTATTGCAATCTGAGTTCTTAAAACTGTCAGCTTTATGCCTATGTCCAGCATTATGGACTTCCAATAGTTCTGGCCAAATGAACTTTTTGATTGCCACCATTAGAGAATTGCAAAAAGTATATTACGAATCGTTTATTATTCTGTCGGAAGAATATAATGTATATTCTATGTTTAAAAGTAACAAAGTAGATCAAGGAAAATTCAAACAAAATGTCGATGATGTTCATTCAGACTTGAAATCAAAAGTAATTAGTGTACGGCAGTATTTACAAAATATGGTAGTGCATGTACGATTTATTGAGGATTCAGTTGAAAGTAAACCAAAGAGTAGTATCGTAGATCTGAATGACACTATTAATGTACTAGTTAAAGAAGTAAACGCATTTAATGAACTGGTATCAAACTTACAAGTTTATATTCTTAAAACGAATAGTAAAAATGAATATATGGAAAACAAGTTGCCCAGTGAGCCAATTAAAGAGAATCTAGAAAATGAAACAGAAGCCAGTGAAGCACCACCTGCTCCTCAAGAAGATGAGTTATTTTTTGGAGTCTCTGGAGAGTTACAGAAAGATATAGACAATAAATGTTACCATGACGATATTTTTGATAAGATCAATAATGAAAGTTTAATTTCTGAACTTAAAGTGGCACTTAAAGAAAAGCAAGATGAATGGAAAGACAGAGAGTCTAAATTATTAAAAAAACATCCTCAGTTGAATAACACTTCTAGTGACGATAAGACTTCTGATGAATCAGAACATTTAGAAGAAGTACATAAAGTACGTAAAGTTGCCAGAGACTTTCCACCCGAAGAAGGTTTTCCAATGGCGTTGCCTGATAAAAACTTTGCAAATGAAATTGCGGGTGTTGCATGTAGATGGAATAATACAGTAATTGAAAGTTTTGGAGACAATTCAGGGTCTGATACATCAGGCAGTTCCACAGATATGTAAATTATCTTCAGTTTATTATTGTTTGTATAATGGTTAGATTTTAAAACAGAATCTATAACTGTGTTGTATATTTTAGTTATACATGTTTATTTAGTATATGTATATGAGAGAAGTGATGTGTAAAAAATATTTGAAATCATTGATATATTTTATAAAAAAAAATTATTGACTGACCAAATTCGAGTACTAATACTAGTCCATTTAAAGCTAGGAATAATAAATTTTAAAAATTTGTTTATTTTCAGTATAATTTGTGTTCATGAAAATTCAGCTCTTTGCAACAATTATGCTGTATATAATGCTATATTAATACAATCATATTTAAGGCGCAATCTAGAAATAAAAATAATCGTCCTGCGTTAGAAAATGCTTACTACTACTATTAAAAAATGATTTTAATTATAAAACACATACAATTTTTACGATAAATAATTTGCTATAGGATGTTATAAGTTATTTGTAGCATAGATTAAATACACATCTATAGACAGACTGCTACTTAGAGAAAATCGTTTCACGGACTTTGGAAATGTTGGTCCACACACAAAAAAAACACATGGTAATAACATAACATTTTTGGCCTCGCATTGAAGTTTAAACAATTGCACTTATCGATGTTTCACGGCAAAAGATTTTAAGAGACAATTTTTTAATTATCAAGAGCTAAAAGCCTTTTTTTGGTGATTTTATTAAATTTTTTTTCAAATAGCAATTACCTGAGTACGTTACCTAATATTGTACATATTAAAAATCATTAACGCCTAAATATTTTCATTTAAACCCTATCTTTTAAACAGAAAAAATATTAAACGTTTTTTTTTACTGCAAACTTAAAATTAAAATTGTTAAAAAATTGTCACAGCTGTTTTTGATACACTTTTATCCATCCAATAGTATATGTCATGTCGCCTTGACCCTTTTGCTGTGTTATATTTATTATGATTTATGCCCGTCTTCAAAATATATATATATATATCATGAATCAATGTTTCATAATAGTATTAGTATATAAAATAAATATTAAACACTTATTTTAAATATTATTTGTTTTATTTTTAAAACTATGAGTAAACAGAAAAAAACGAATTATATAAGTTTTTTAATACTTTGAAATTTGTATAAATAATATTGTACATGGTGATGAGGTAAGTGTTAAAAAACAAAGTTTATAATGATAAACTGAATATTTGTTCGTTAAGACAAAGCTGGTATAAAATGACTTAGAGTCTAACAAATACCATGTTTTGAAATTTAATACAATAATATTATAATACAAGCTTATAAGAAAAAATAAAGTAATATCAATATATACATTATATATAGTATACAATAATAATAATTAACATCATATCACCCTGTGTTTTGGGAGTAAAATAACAATTTTAAAATAAAAACAAGATTATAGACTAACTAGTTTTGACACCAAATAACAATATATATCTAATATAAGAGTTAATAAATTAAAATTCATTTGATGTAAAACATACAAAACACCATTTTTTTTTGCTTATATATATATATATATATATATATATATATATATATATATATTTATATATACACACATAAAAATATGTATACAATATAATTTAAAATAATTCCGTAATTGGGGAGGGGGGTTGAGAATTGGAAAACAATACTATAATATAAAAAATGTAATAAAATATAATTGGCCGTTCATAACAAGTGCAATGAATAAGTCACTTCTCTGTAGGTTATTTTTTAGTCGCTAAATGATTTGGCGCATCGGCAAATGTGAATTTTAATCTATATGCCTCTGCAACAAGTAAACTTATGTCAGTATCAGTCCAGTGTTGTGTTTGCAGATTTTGCAACATCAACATTAAGCCCTGAAAACAAATGGCCAACAATAAATTAATTTTAATAACTTTGCACCGTTTGTCATTTTAAATATTTTACCTGGAAATCTTTTTCTTCAAGCAACTCTTGCCTCCAGTGCAACAGAAACGCAGCACACACATACAACTGAAATGTAGCAAAGCAATCAGACTCTGCTAAATATGTATCCCACAGTCTTATTGAACAACGCAACGGCAACTCTCTAGTTAATAAATTGTTCATCCATCTAAATGAAAATTGTAAGTAGTCAATGCCGTGTTTCATAAGATGTTCGTGCAATGTACCTGTATTCAAATAAAAACAATAAATAATATGATACATTACGCATGCCAATTACAAATTTTACCGTCAATTCTTTGTATAAGTTCTTTCAACTGGTTCACTTTATACTGAATTCCTAGTTGAGCAAATATGTAATTATCCTGAATTCCATCTAAAAATTTTGATAGACACCAGAATGAGTCAGCTTCAAGTGCGTCACGGTGTTCTTTTGATATTGAGCTTACATTGAGTGTTTCGATATTTGTGCCTATAAACAAGAGGCTGTTAATGTATTTTCGTTTATAATACATATTTTAAATTGTTTTCGGATGAGATTAACAATAATACATGTTTGAAAAATATTAATGACACTCACAAGGGTACTATAAATTTGTATGGGTCACATTAATAGCTCAATGTCAATGTACACTGTTACTAAGTCTATAGTTATTTATAATGAACATATGTAATGTATTATATATATTGTCGTATTACAAGCGTTACAAATAAATAATTATTATTACCTATTGGAAGATATTCTTGTAGAAAGACTACATAAAAAGGCGTGACTAAATCGTTCATGCCTTGAACATAACCAGACGCTGGATGTCTGATAGCCCAAATAAACAAAATTCTCTCGAACATCTCTTGCACAGTTGTTTGTTGAAATAATGGTGTACTCATACGTGGGATATCTATGTGAATCTGAATACATGTAATTTATATGTTTATGTATTTATATCAAATGTGTAATATAAATAGTTTGAGCACAAACCTGTCTGTAAGTGTCTTTGTAAACCTCATCTTTATCAGTGTCGTAATACTGTTTGACAAGATTGGTATAGTCGATACGCTTTCTTTCAAGTGCCTGCTGTCTGCGTTCAAAACTAGTAGGTAGGTAACCCTAAACAAAAAACAACAAATAATTATTATTTCTTTTAAACAATTATAGCAGCCCGATATAGAGCGATTGACATATCTAATATCGACCGTGATCAGCGCATTTAGATCATTTTGATGGTGGGTTGTTATATCTTTCACAGTAATCAATCATTCTTATATACAAAGTATTATCAAAATATAATATCAAAATGCTTTTACTACAAAATTAGGTATTTTTTGTAACACATTTAAAATATTATTATTGGCACTTATGACAAAAAAACTATTTAATTATGCAATTACCACACCTGGACTTGTAACCACATTTAGATTGTTAACTTTTATATCAACTTACAGCTAATAATCTCCACGTCATTGGACGTACTTCGACAGGTACACCAGACCAGCTCAATTTTTTCAATTCTTCTAAATGCAATAGACTGCTATTGATCAATGTTTGAAACTTTGTTAGTTTGTTAGTGTCGACATCAGTATCTAAAATTGTATAAATATATTCAATTTAATTCTTAATCTACTTGGATTAAAGGTAAGCTTTACTAACTAGAAAAATTAACTCTAGTATCTGGATTACGAGATTCTTTAGTTTTATTGGCAGCAGTTTCTCCTTTGGCTAAAGATAAACATACAAAATACATATTAATTTATATCTTAATAATTCCACATGAAAAACATTCACACTATATAAAAAAAGTACAATATAGTAATATAAAGCCTGGCCCGTGTTAAACGAATAGTCAAAAGTTGCCTATTTTCGATTTATATAGGTCTGGTTTATTATCAGCTACTATCAGCTTAAATATCAGCTTATTGTCTATATCAATTGTTATAGATGTGTCAAATTCAATAATAAAATCTGACTTTGTTCAGTTTAAACTCAGATACCAGGATTTGTAGCATCACTTTTACTATTTTCCAGAGGAGTATATCACCACTTTGGCGCCGTTGGCATAGGTTTATTGTTAAGTTATTTATTATCTTTTGACAAAATATAAAGCTTTTATCCTACTCTCTGTTGCATGTAAGTTGTAACTATAAACAGCTATGTGAATCTTAGTCGCCCATAGTTTTATTTTTAAAAGGGAAATATATAATTATTAGTTCAAAATAAATTACTTACTACTGGAACAGTAATAACTTTTAGGTTTATGAATTTCTTCAATCAAAGCCTTATGACTATTTATAACATTCATAGCGGCTGAATGAGCTACACGCTTAGATATTTTCACATCTAAAAAAAAAAAAATACTTATAATAATGAAAAGTAAGTCAACTTGTGTGGACCAATGAATATAGTGCTGAAACTAGTACTAGAAGTATCCACTTAATAATACAAGCATTATTTAGGGACAGCGGGGGAATTCAAATTAAAAGAAATGTATTTATACAATTTTGAATAATGGTAGTTGATTAAGTAAACCCTTTAACTGATTAGTAAATTATGAATGTACACTGGCAGTACTACAGACATTTTGATTTTTTTATACTTTACACTTAGTTGCATATCTGCAGATGAGTCGAAATATGATATTTTAAAATTGGCAAAACCACTATGTAAATTTACAATTTGTAATTATTGCCAATACGTAAATATAGCAAAAATATAAATGTTGTAAAATATTTGGCCAAAATAAACTTTAATCAATTTTTGTCAAAAAAATAATAATAACAAAACATCTAAATAAATGGAGAAACTACAAAAGTTTTATTTTTATATACCTTTATAAAAATATTATTTGCAAATAACCGACCAAAATCATTAGGATAACACACCTGAAATACGAAGAATTTCATCCTCTGCTTCTATTTCCCACGCATCACTGACACTTTCTTGAAAATCATCAAATGATGTTGATGCCGATGAGGATGCAGACTTATTATCCTTTTTAGGACTAGCCCTGAAAGTATAACTCAAAATTATGTACGTGTATCAAGCATGTAAATAGTACCAAATAGTAAATAAACAGATTACACACCTGCCAGGTAGGTTTCTAATGTTTTTCTTCCAAAACGAATTTTTAAAATTCATGTCATTATTATCGCTGGTTAGTTTTTGTGCGTGATCGCCCATCTCACAGACTTCTGGAATTGATTTCAAGTTTATGAACACTACTGAAGTAACCAAAAAATCTAGAACGCTCAGTGGTATAACTAAAACTAAATTGCTGGGATACTAAAATATTATACTTACCCAGGGATTTAAGGCGGTTTTTTAATTCATATATATATATATATATATATATATATATATATATATAACAGTACAGTACAGTGGAGACAGGAGATAGTGGGGACTGGGAGGTCACAGTTCTACAGGAATTATTATAACTGAAAGTGATAAAATCACTTTTAAATAAATGCATCAATGCGAATCTTTGGACAGTAGGTTCAAACCAGTGTAGTAAGAAAGTATTTAACGTGAATAGTAGTAGTAATAGTAGTGAGTAAGGAAGGTCCAGTGCTCACAAAAAAAAAATTCAAATTTAGATAAAAACTTGTTACCTATTGACAATTATGTGTTAAAAAATTAATTTTTAGTATTAGGAAGGATACGATGAGGGTTGATCTTCTGTCTATAAAAATGTATTGCCATTGTTACCCATATAACGTAATGAAGAATAAAATGCAAATATTTTCATTACCTGTTCACTTAAACATAGTAACCAGGAAATTAACTACGGTCAAAGTGTAATTTTCACCTTTTATTGGGTTTATTCTTAGTTAAAAAAAAATTAAGAAAATTTTATGTTATAGTTCCATTCTAAATCTATCTTTAGTATAATTTTCAGATCTAATCCTCTAAAACTGCTTGAAAAAGTGAAATAAAGAAAAAATGTCTATCCCTTCTAGGGGAAAGGGTTTTATGATATTTTTTTGGTTTGTCAATGTTTATCGATAGCACTGTATTTTTAAGTTGAAGAATATGTACATTTTTTGGGCGTTTTTCTGGATTTTAAAGATGAAGGGGTGAATTTTTTTTATTTTTGGTCCAATAGAGTACCTTATATAAGCAATTTCTGATATATGGTTGATCTATAAAGTAGCTACATTAAGAAATAGGTTCAGTGGCTTAGAAAATGATGTTGGTATATACAAAAAAAAAAACATCATTGCAAAAACAATACCTTCTCAGCTATGTATCGTAGCTAATAGCATTAATAAGAGAAAAATATTACCCAAATTCATAAAAATTGATTTTTTAAGTACCTAAAATATTTAAGTTAAGCAAGAAAGTACCAAAAGATTTTTTGTTGGACTTGGAGTATTTTAAAATTACTATCACATATATTGTTAAATACATTAAGAGAGATAGGAATCGAGATAAAAAAGCCAAGAGTATTATCATTTTAGAAGTTATATGGTTGAAAATACTCAACAATAGTAGATGACCTGGATTCAAAATTAGAGCTTCTTAAATTGCTGGAAGAATTCTTTGACCACTGGCTACTTTCTACCATATTTTATCATTGTTTATTTCAACAATATAAGGAACTTGGATATTATAGAGATAATTGAGTGACATAGAGTGCTGCAATATATTTCTAACAAAAAATTTTAATTTAATCAAAAATCTCAAGACATTTATATGGGTTGTTAAGACACTTTTGAGACCCTAACATTATTTTCGGCATCACTGGTGCCACCCCTAATTAAATTACTGTGAATTTCAGTATTTAACGTTTACTGGAAGTACTCACGGTGAACTTCGATCATCACTCGGTCTAGGACCGTGAGAGTGAAAAGGTTCCGGTGACTTGAGTGAGAGCGGTTTAGTTCATTGTCGGTTACTGACGAGATATTATGTCATCGAAAAACGGGCTTCAAAACAACGAATATTGTTTAATGACTCTGGCACGAACAGATCTTCTGATTGTATTAATTTTTACCTAAAATATATTGTAAACACTTAAAGAGCTCAGTGCTGGGACGGAGTGATACGGTACAAGTGTACGTACTACATACGCCGAAGTGGGTACGTCGGCGGCCTGCGGCTGACGGAACTGATATGAGAAAAATGGCATAAGGTGCGCTTGGCGTTATCAACAAACCGCTCCATGAACTATATGACGTCATGAGGAGATGCGAGTAACCCTATCCGGCAGTGACGCCATGACCGATGGCGAACGGTCAATACACCTCTCGCCATGTCACGCCATAGCGGTGGACCAAAACGATTTTGATATTTGTTGTCGACGATGGTGGAGGATAATATATATATATGTATTCACAAAATAAAGTAATGGTGATAATAAGCAACGAACCTTGGTAAATGACACACTGCATACATATAGTGCTTATAAACTATCAATATTGTTATTACCTAAAATAATTTATCTAAGGGTACATTGAACTCGTGCTTCGTTGAGTTGCGTCTAACGAGAGTATGCTAATGTAATGCTCAATTATCAATCCATATTTAAAGGACCTATTATTTCTTTTTTTTTAGTTGTCTTATATATTTTGCTATAGCTCTTCAAAAAATAGAATTCCCAAATGCTAACATAGACTAATAACTAATATATGTAGAAGCAGCCGTCGTGTGACACAAGTACACAACTGACAACATACGAGTTTTAATTACAAAATAAATAATAATCACGCCATGCCCCATGGTTATATACTGAATACACTATCAATACTGTGAAGTGTGAAACACGAAAATTTAATAATGATAATAGGTATCACAGAATATTATCCAAATTTATCATCACAATGCCGATGAAATTGTCTTATCAATTAATTGTTGGCAGAACGCTCAACGCGCACAATCACCATTCTCAAGTCTCAACCCGCCGCCGCCTACCCGCAAGCTCCGTATTGTTTTTGTTGGTTTTCAGCAGGATTAACAAATTAGGTTTCACGGTGGCCGGTGCTTGGGTGATTAAGTATTGAATAGGGTAGTTAGTAAATTGTACACAAAAAAATCGTACCTTTTGTTTGTCATTGAACATTAATTTTAGTAAGTAAAATGATTAAAATAATCTGTGCAGTCGTTTGCAAGTAATATTTTATGTATTATTACTTTCTGTTGCAGTTCAAGGCTAAACAACCGAAGACTAGAAACGAATTATTTAGTTTTAGTATACTATATTATAGCACCATAGAATGGGAAGAATCTTTATGTTGGCAGTGGAACTTTAAGCACTCAAAATAATTGTAATTGTTGATACCAAATGTTTTTTGTTATGGATGGTTTGAATGGAAAACGAGCAACGCCAAAGTTAAAAGAATCAATGGCCAACAGAAAACAAAAACAAGATTCAGAAGTAAATTCATTATTATATATTTTTTGTACAATATTATCTAGCAAAACATTTATAATAGCAGTCACATAAAGGGATTAAAAATGTTCCGTTAATATTATGTTTATATATTGGATATTATGTTTCGGAAATAGAGTTTTCTTATCTTATACTAATATTTTGTTGTCTTTTTAGGAAGAATCAGACTGTCCAGATTTGGAGTATAATTATGGAGATACCGATACACATCTCAGCGAAATGTCTGAGTTGTATAGTTATTCTGAGCTAGATGAATATCAATATAACATCCAGGTATACTTTTTATTTTTTGTATGGATATATAATTTCTTAACTTACATTACATTTCATTGTTAAAGCATGTAATTTTAAATTATCAATTATATACTTAGGAATTTGAAAAAATGATTACTTCTCTGAATTTGAATTCATCTTGGCTTAATTTAACATTTGAAGATAAGCACGTTTTCATGTCAAAGCTACTTGATAATTTAGAAGTATCTGACAAAACAAAACGAATGAATGCTGCCAGATGTGTATTGTATTTGACACAAGTATGTATTATTGTAGACTGCAGGGTTATTCATAATTCATGTTATATTCATTTTTAGTCTTGTTGTGTTCTACAATGACTGTTGTTTCAACTTTTTTTAATGTGGACAATTAGGAAAGTTGAGTTACTTAGCCTTAAAGGCCCATAGGTTTAATACCAATAAAATGTCCTTATTTTTCCTAGGCATTTTCAATTTTGTTTAAAAAGGCACTGACATTTTTGTTTTAAATTTACCTAATTTTAAATTATTTATTTATTTGTATAAACACATTATTTATAAAAACTGACTCATTTCTGTTACACAAAGTAAATAGTAATTTTTCAAAGACAAAATTTTTTTAACTGCAAGCGTTAGGTAAATTTGACAATATGAGTTGTGTATAAGAGATGGTTATTTCTTTTTTATAGTGTGTTAAAAATGATTAATAATTTTTTTAAAAATTGGAAAATGTATACAAGAAAAAAGTAATTTAAGTCAAACATGTAATTCTCTATTTCAGATTTTTAATTTGTTCTCTTTTGCTCTTTTAATTTTCAACACACTTGTTTAAAAATTAAAAGTTTGTTGATTATGATACTTTTTTCTTTTAGCTTTGTTGAATTTGCCCAACATCTTGTTGTTGTTTTTTTTTTGCGTTTTGTTTCTTTAAAGGTGATAACACGTGTAGTGAGGGTAATCGGATATAGTATAAAATGCCATTCAAATTCTGGGTGGTCACCTGTCCAGAAATAAGCAGCAACTGGTAGAAGAAAACTTCAGGGGATGTTTGTTGCCTAACTTTACTACACTAAGTCCTAATTAATTAATTTATTATTTCCATTTATTTTTAAGAATTTCATTAAAGAACCTTTAACATGAGTTATATATTGCCTTGTTGATATTTTTAATCTACAAATATATAAATTAAGTTTTTCCATTATAGGGTTGCTGGGCTGAATGTCAGTCAGATAAGGATCAACAATTAAACACAAAAGAAAATGTACTTTTCTTGTATAAATACGGCATTTACAATATATTTATTGAACTTTTAAATATAGAAATAGAGTATGTACCTATTTTGTTAAATGTATTGTTTTTATTTTATATTTGATTACCTTATTTATACTATTTTTACAATACATTTTTATTTTTAGGCCATCAGCGCAAATTCATAGAAAATCGCAAATAAATTGTACAGATTCAACAAATTTAAGGATTATTTTCAATGTACTTTATACATTTATTGAAGTACTACGTATATCAGAATTTGAACCTGGTGTTGAGTACAAAGAGTTTAGAGAAAACCTTTTATCAGATATTGGTAAATAGTTAAAAAAAAAAACGTTTTTAAAATTATGCTAAGCTTAATTAAATATTAATTGTAAATATATTTTATGTTAATGAATAGGTTTACCTTTTACTGAAGATCATATAGTTGTTAAGTTATTAGGAATGATTACTAGGTTTTGTAGTGGAATGGCTCCATATTATCCAATGAAAAAAGTTTTACTAGTACTTTGGAAACTTATTTTAGTTCTGCTTGGCGGAATGGAAAGTTTAGAAAGATTAAAAAGTTAGTATATTTAATTTAGATTTTCCTAAAATGATCAAAGACTAATACTTGGTTATCCGATTTTTATCAGATGAGTACAGGAGAAATGCAAATTTACCAGAACTCCAAGAAGACCAAATTGAAATAATTAAATCAATGAGGTCTTCATCGCCGCCTCCTAGTTCTACTGATATGATGAATGCACAAAAACGGGGAGGAACCCGGCAAAAGCGAGTAAGTAAAGTAAAATTTTACTATTAGTTGGTGGTATTTAAACTTTAACACTTAATAAAAAAAATAGTATAATTAAGTCTATTTTAATAAATGAGAATTTTATACATTACTTTAACTAATTATATAGTGAAAATATGTTTTCTCCTTGATATTTTATTTCTTAGTCCTACCATTCTAATAAAACTTGCATTGTCATTTTTAGTCTTAGAAAAACATTTTTTGGCAAACAAGTAAACTTATTTTTAATATTTTTTTTGTTTACTTTGAATATTGACACATATTTTATGCTGTTAACCCTAAAGTGTACGCCAAGCAGCACTGTCTACCTTGTTTCCCCACATTTGTTTAAATAAAAGTTAAATGTGTGCACATAAGTGTTAAAATAATCAAAATAGAACATTGAATAAAAATATATTGATTGTACTTATGTGCAGTTAAATTGACTAATATCTAATAAGTGTAAAACTTAATAGTCACAAGAGGATCCAAATCAGTGTTCCTAACTGATGGTCTGCAGAGCACCGATAGTACGTGGGCCTTTCATGGATGGTCGGCAATGCTAAAGATTATTTTCCATTTTCATAATTGTTTCTTTACTAAAAATTAAAAAAATTAATTTCTTTTGTAAAAAAAGTAGAAATTTAGTAGGTATTCCCTGAAAATAAAAAATATACAATGTAATAGTTGAATAGTCGGATATTAGCTAGTGTATGTGATAATATCAATTCATTTTATAACAATGATTTTTATAGTGGTTTGCGATTAATTGAAAGTTTTTCTTAGTGGTCTAAAAGGTCTAGAAAAAAAGTCTAAAAGGTTGGCAAACACTGATTTAGATGACCTCGGCAGATTATAATATTGTATAATATATTGCAGCTGTTACTCCTCTTTTTATCCATTTAGTTAAAGCTAAACCAATTAAAACTATTTTCTTAATAAATTTAACAGATTTTACACAAAATAATTTTAAAAAAATTATAATTTTTAATTAATAGTTATTTTTAAATTTATGACTTAAGACTTATTTAATTTTTCATACAATTAATGCTAATGTTATTTGCTCTACACTATTTCATCTGTGGTGTAAAAATGATAGCTTACTGTACTAAGTTTTGTACCACATGGAAGTCTAAATCCTCATTTAAATATATAATATATATTATGCTTCTTGAAATGTATATTTAGGACTTCTATATCTATGAAAGATATCCTGGTTATAATAAATTGGTTTGTTTTTAAAATGACTTTCGATAGAAATTTATAGTTTGTTTATTGACATTCCATAGATGCCGTTAAATTTAAAAGCATTAACATTCCACTGCACCACTAAATCAGATTCGGTAAACAGTGGTGAGGAGGTAAGTTGAATGTATGCATTGGTGTTTGACATATGAATTAAAAACACCACGGATTTGTGATTCTGTTATGTTTATTTTTTTTACAATTAATGATGTCATCACATGCACAATTGTTGGTTTATATCTTGATGTGTATTGTTAAATTACAGTGATACATAATTTTTGTTAAGGATGATTGTTTCATTTTACATAATATTAAAAACATGTCATAAGTATATTTTGGTAAAAATAAAATAAATTATCATATCTTATAATGATTTGAATGTTACAATAAAACTATGCAGGGCGTAAAAATCTAAACACAGTAGATTTTTTAAATTTAAATACTATAACTATGTAATGCTATTTATCAGTATTCATTACTTTACTATACCATTTAACCAATATTACTTAGGATATGTCAATGTAGAATTTTTACAAAACATATATATGACATATCAAGCTCTTCTTTATTTGAGATCATGTATGTAGCTATTGCAAGTACTTAAAACAACTGATTGTAAAATATACAGTGTAAATTAAAAAAAGATGTGTATGTATTTGTTAAGTAAATACTTTTTATCATTTACACACAATATAATTTTACTATTTCATTGTGAAGTTAATAAGTTCGCTTGCATTAAATATTGTGTTTTTGCTTTGAACAAATAGTGAATTAATTTTTTTTCTGTCAATTTTCACTATTTGTATGTTTATTATAATATTAATAACAATTGAAAATTTATGTTAATTGAATTTTTTTAGGGTCTTATTAAACAGAGTTCATTAGACGAATCTCTTGTTGTGATGGACTTGTCTTATCAAAATGATGAAGATTTACAAGATTATGAAGACCAGCAAATGGGTATGGATGACATTTCAAGTTTAAAAAATATACCAGATCCAGGCGACTATAGGCCACAGACACCACCCATGCCGATGGAAACAAAAGGTTTGCCTTGGATTCCCAAAGTTCGACATAAAGACTTGCAATTCTTTCTAGATCAAACTAGAGTCAAGTTTCTGGGTTTTAAATTGGATAATGATGTAGATACATTGATTGGATTGCCTGAGCCCATTCATGAAAGTGTTGCAATTTTAAAACAGGTAAATTACAAGTTGTTTCATTTTAACATGTGCTGTTTGCTAAATAGCTATGAATCTTTTTGCAGTACATGTACACGTCACTGGCTGATTATCAAATAAAAAAAGAAGAAACGATTCAAAAAAACCCTTTAACCATGGGCGAAAATGAAATTGACCAAACTCCTGCTGAAATATTATATCAAGCTATGTTACCTAATTTGCCTCAACATATGATTGCCCTTTTAAAAATATTGTTGGCTGCGTCTCCTACTTCAAAAGCCAAAAGTGATTCAATAAATATAATCGCAGATATACTTCCCGTGGACATGCCGTATGTTAATGCACAGCTATAATACTATGATTTATTTTTCTTTATTTCTTATCAGTAATCACTGTTCCTATTTTGCTTTCAGAATGTCATTCTCCGAGTCTGTCAAGTTGGAGACTGATATCAATAGACAAAAAGAAATTGTAGTGAAGGCTATAAGTGGTATATTACTTTTACTGTTAAAACATTTTAAAGCAAATCATATTTATCAGTTTGAGTTTATCTCCCAGCACTTGGTTTTTGCAAACTGTATACCGCTGGTCATTAAATTTTTAAATCAAAATCTCGTGTCTTATGTTTCATCAAAAAATACGTGAGTAATCTTCTGTAATATAGACAATGAGAAATACAATAAGATATTGCTATTGTTTCAGAATTCCAATACTAGATTTTCCAAACTGTGTTATTGGTGAAGGACCCGATCTATCGTTGGACAATATAGAAGTTGGAGAATTTCCATTGTGTTCTTGGAGAAATGTCTACTCGTGTATTAACTTACTCAGAGTTCTTAATAAAATCACCAAATGGAAACATTCTCGAATAATGGTATATATCCTAACAGAAAATAACACATCAATATATAGCTAGTTATATACATTTTTTTTTTATAGATGCTCGTTATCTTTAAGTCTGCACCAATTTTGAAAAAATCTCTCAAAGTTAGACACGCAATGATGCAACTTTACATTTTAAAATTACTGAAGATGCAAGCCAAGTACCTTGGTCGAGCATGGCGAAAGTCAAACATGAAAACAATGAGCACTATTTATCAAAAAGTTCGTCATAGGTTAAATGACGATTGGGCGTATGGAAACGGTAATTATTTTATTGACTTTTAACGAAAAACAATAAGAAAATGATAAAGTAAAGAAAGAAAAGAAGCGGATAACTTGAGTTGAATCTGATTAGACAGCTGTCTAGGAAAAGACTTGTCAAAAAAAAAGAATCCAATTTGTGAAAAACATTTTATATTAGTTTATTTTTTAACACTAAACCTATTAAAAATGTCTTAATTTTTAAAAATTATTACTTAATTAATTACTATTATAATATCTTGTTCTTGATAATTTTTTATTTTAATCTATTAGTATCAAAAGACCAAGTTTAACTTTTTAAATCAATTTATTATAAATTTTGTGTATAATAATTATGTTCAGCCAATATAAAAAATAAAACTTTTTAAATTCAGCAGATAGATACGAGGGTCATCCCAGAAGTAAGTTTCCCTATTTTCTTGTACCAGAACCGAAAGAGGTAACAGCTGCAACATTTTCGCCAGCTTGCTTTGTTTGTAACCTATTCAATCGTAAACATGGCAACCTACCTCGAGCGCGGGTCCGATTGCGAAGTGCGAAGTGTTATCAAATTTTTGACTTGGGAAGGTGTTGCGGCCTGTGAAATTCATCGAAGGGTTACTTCAGCTTACTGTGAAAATGTGATGAGCATTCAAATGGTTCGGAGGTGAAGAAAAACATTCGAGGAAGGACGTGTTTCGGTGCATGATGAGCATCGCAGTGGGCGCCTGTCGAGTTCGAGCCACGAAGACGCAGTTGAGGCAGTGCGTGCCATTTTGGATGAAGATCGGCGTCGAACCCTTGACCAAATCCTCGAATTGGTTCATCCCAAGTTCGAGTTGACTCGGTCTGTAGTTGGTCGCATTGTTCAAGATGACCTGAACCTCAATAAAGTCTGTGCAAGGTGGGTCCCGCGGCTATTGTCGGATGAGCACAAACAAAACCGTTTGGACGCTGCAAATCAATTTTTTAAGATGCTTGAGGATGAAGGAGAAGATCTTTATGCTCGAATCGTGACTGGGGATGAGACATGAGTTCATCACAACACTCCCGAAACCAAAAGGCAGAGCAGGGTGTGGAAAAGCCACCAAAAAAAGCAAAAATTAAAACATCAGCTGGGAATATCATGGCAACCGTGTTTTGGACTCTAAAGGAGTGGCTCGAACTCGACGGGCGCCCACTGCGGTGCTCATCATGCACCGAAACACGTCCTTCCTCGAATGTTTTTCTTCACCTCCGAACCATTTGAATGCTCATCACATTTTCACAGTAAGCTGAAGTAACCCTTCGATGAATTTCACAGGCCGCAACACCTTCCCACGTCAAAAATTTGATAACACTTCGCACTTCGCAATCGGACCCGCGCTCGAGGTAGGTTGCCATGTTTACGATTGAATAGGTTACAAACAAAGCAAGCTGGCTACGTGAAACTTTTACAGTGTGACCACTACTATTAAACGAAAATGTTGCAGCTGTCTACCTCTTTCGGTTCTGGTACAAGAAAATAGGGAAACTTACTTCTGGGATGACCCTCATATTATCAAATTGGATATTTTGAACTCAACACTTTGATGAACAATTTAGTGAACAAAAATTATATATTATATTTAGAAATACAAATTTCATTTGTATATAAGTATATATATGTACATATTGTATATCAAAATGGCTCAAAGGATTTTTACGAAATACAATTTTTTTGTACTGGATGTACTATGTAATTGGTGTATTTTTTTTTTTTTTTTTGTTAACCGGGCACCGCTATACCTATAAAGAACGATAACGTTGATTTCTACTTTCTATACAACACCCATTAAGAAAAAAAGTTATTTAGACCCTGATAAAAATAATCTAAACTTTTTAGATCTCGAAGCTCGGCCAACTGATTTTCAAATTGAAGAACGGTTTTTAAGATCTGCGGTAGACAAGTTTCATGCAAGGCGTTACTCTCAACAATATGTATGTTTACACATTTTTAACCAAACGAATGTAATATTAAATTTATGTTTTTTTTTATTTATATTCATATTATATCATTATTGTTAGGATGATGAGTTCACTCCGAGCGACTTTTCAGTTAACACCACCTTGGGAAAACCGGTAAAATTGTCTAATGAGTTTCAACAGCACTATGAAATTTGGATGAACCAAGAAGTCTTTCAGAACCAAATCGATTGGGACGCTTTAATTACCCATTATTAATGTTTTCTTGATTATTGAACTAGCATATAGTGCATTATAAAATTATGATTACTGTATTACATAAGTGTTACAATCATAAAACGTTTTTGGTTTCTTTTATTATTATACTTAGGACAAAAAAATATTAATTATTCATTTTTTGCTTCGTCGTGCGTGTTTTGTATGAAAAGCCCAACTCATTAAACTATCTCAATATTATATTTTGTCCAATAACGATTATTTAAATTTTATAATTATACTATGTACCTATTTTTAGCAATCTAATCAGAGTTATTAAATTATATAAAGTAGTAATTGTAAAACAGTATAAACTAATATAGACTGATTCTATGGTAAACAAAATTGGTTGTACTCTTACAACAATAATTTTAGTATGAAGAAATTAATGTAAATAACAATTATGATGTTACTGATAAATCTTTAACTATTTATGTACAATAATTTTATATTCTGAATTGCAATATGCATGTAGATGGAGTGAGTAAATTTTAAAATCAGACCATCTAAAAACTACTAATTTTCAATAAATTAATTTAATACAATTTATTTAAAAAAGGAAAGTTATGAAATTATTTTTTTTAACTAACAAAACTTAAAAACTACTTATCAAAAATATTAAAAAAAGTTAGTTACTTATGTATTAATAGAACATATTTTTGTTTAAAGTAAATGTAAAGAAGGATTTTTTTTAACGATTAAGTATTGAAATAAACATGTACAAAGTAATTTTCAAATGATAAATTACATAATTAATAATATAATGAAAATAAAAATGTAATAGGCATCAATTATAATGAATATAAATATAACAAAACAATTTTTTCGTGAAATTATTTTATTATTATAATTATACTTTGAAATCTGTATGTGATAATCTTATGTATGTATTCGACCTTTGCAAGTGAAGCCTTAATTTAAGTTATTATTGTTATAACTCCAAGAGTAATTATTCTAATCTAGTTATCGATCGGTACCCTCCCCCCTCTCTCAGTAAATCATTCTTATTTTGTTAACTAATTAGAATGTATATAAATCGAAACATTTTAAATTCAAAACTTATTCAAATAACTACATTTAAAAATAAGTCGAGAAGATAAATTTATTATAAACGATTCATTTGATAAATTTTACTTTTTTCGGATTTTACATAAGAAGTTTTTACTACAAATCATTATTTAGAGGAATTTAAGTTATCATTACCTCGGCATCTTCGTTCCCTCGATCGTTTTTAATATTATTTGTTGCAAAACAGTCGGCCTTTTTTTACTGATGACCGTTTTATTCATTAATATGAAATATCTTAATATACTATCTTGAGGGGGTTGTCCAGTGACGACCCGAACGAGAATGTAGTATCGTAGTACCATAATGGTGCTTCGAGGGTTTTGGGGACTTTGAAAGTTATTGGTTCTATTAGTCTGATGCACATTAGCTCTTATCATCTATAATTGTATACTGTACCTACTTGCATCTAGTTTAAGTGTACCTACTCATATCAAAAGGTAATTATAAAAAGCCAGTAGCAGTTAATTTTCAAGGGACCACCACCCAGGATCATTCGTGGCCAGGACAACTAAACTAGGGGCCTGTGTGTAGGTAAAAATTGGTTTGCCTCTTACTCCTCTCTTCCCTTTTTAACAGACTTTTAAGTAAACGTATTACCAAACTTAACCGCACAATAAAACACATTATATCTGATCTCTAAAAATAATATACGCGTACAATGAATTTCAAGGAATTGATAACGTTTGTAAGGCGAAATGAACTTTTTTAAATACGTTTACTTTGCTTCAAAAGGCTTGTAGTTTCAACACCGTTCAAATTTTATTGATTGACTTTTTTATTTATAACAATATTCGTGTATTTTCAATTCAATGTCATTATATAAGTTGGTTTACCGGAATATCGCACTGTAAATCATTTCAATGAACATTAATTGCTGTTCATACACTGAACAATTATCACAGAAAAATTGTTCTGCATGAACATAGACCCTACTCTCTAACAAACGCAACATCCGGGCTGATGCAAGCGGTTGGTGCGGTTTTTGACCTTGGCAGACGACAACTTGTCTAGGTCCGACCCTGAATTAAGATACACGATAGAAATCAGGGCCGTACTTAGGAATTTGTCACCCTGGGGCAACAAAAAACGCCCTATTATAATATTATACAAATTTAATGCAATATAAAAAAATTTAGCCGTCCGGGGCAACAGCCCTCTGTTGTCCCCCCCCCCCTAAATACGGCCCTGGATATAATTATTTTTTAAAAATATCAATTGTAAACTACGAAATTACACTTGAGAGAGTAAATAATTACAAATAACATAAAAGCAATTCAATAAAAGTTAACCCCTGAAATCTAATGTACACGATCAACGATCATTTTGGTTTGAGTGTGTTTTACTGAAGTGAAAAAAAAAACGAATAAAAATTTTAAATGCGCATGCCATTGGACGGAAAGTGAACGACAAACGTGGCTAAATGTGATTATCTGGTCACGGCGTTAAGGTGTTGTTGATCAGATCCTCGATGTTGTTGTCGGACTCGGCCGGCAAGATGGGTGGCTCGTCGAGAGAGCCGCCACTCTCTTGATTCCAAATGCTCAGGTTGTCCCGAATGAGCCGCATGATCAGCGTTGAGTCGTCGTAGCTGTCTTCCTCTAGCACGTCTATCTCGGCTATGGCGTCGTCGAACGCCTGTTTGGCCACCTGGTGTCCCTGGCGTCGTTGCTGGCATATCTGGTATAGGAACACCGAGTAATTGAGCATAAGGCCCAGCCGGAGTGGATGCGTGGGCCGCAGCGACTCGCGGCTCATCTCGCCAGCCCGCTCATACGCCTCCCGCGACTCGTTTACCGCATGTGACCGGTCCTCCGCCACGTTCACCTCGGCCACGTACCGGTGGTAGTCGCCGCGCAGCTTCCAATAGAACACCCTGGCCGCCGGATCGGACGCCTTAGGCATAAGTGCCGTCTCGATCACCGACAGAACCTCGTCGCACAACACCCGCAGTTCCTGCTCTACTAGTGACCGGTACTCCTGCACGATTGTCTTGTCTAATTCCGTAGGTCCGTCTTTCTGTTCGATGGCCATCAACGTCCGACGGGCATTCCGCTTGTGCTCGAGCAATCGCTTGTACGCCACCGCCAACAGATTGTCCTCGTCCTTGGTCATCGCCTCGTCGCTCTCGGCCACCGTCTTCATGTACCTGGCCATGTCTTCGTATCTGTTGGCCTCTTGAGCGAGCTTAGCTCTCCACAAGTTCAGGTCTTTGTTTTTCGACCTCTGCCGGTCCATGGCAGCTTTCAATGGTCTCTCACCCAGGTTATTTTTCTTCTTAATATTTTACTTGCAAACAATTACCTTTAATTACATGTATATATAATGTGTTTAGTGGATATATTAGTGTACGTCTGTTTATGGATTCTATACCGTAGAAATGAGCATATTTACCGACGTTACGGATACAAAATCAATATTTACTGTATTTACGTGACAACGAAACAATTTTTTAAATTTATTAATGCGGGTATACTCGCATTTTAGTTCCCTATAAATAAATATACTAATATTATAATACGTTCTAATTAATACAATACGAAACATGAATGTCTTGTGGCGTAAGGATAAGGAAATGGTGGTTGGTTGAAATAGAAAAGAAATAAAATATGTAGCGGAAAATTGTTTAGCTAGCAGACAAGACAAAATTATTATGGGTTATAGAGAAACGAGTGCGAATGTAACATAAATGTGGTTAAGTAGTCGTTTCGAAAGAGCAACAACATTTTAAAGAATGTCGATAACAGTAGACAAGGGCGCCCGTAGGGGAAAATTCAGGGAGGGGGGGGGGATTCCTATGATTTTGTAATAGATTTTACAAATTTGCGATATTCGACGTACGTTTTTATGACTTGCAGAGAAGATAGGGGAGAGTTGTCCCCCCCTGTCGTTTCCTGTGGGTGCCCTTGGAAAAAAATAACAAGTATGATGAGCTTTAAAATTTAGGAAAAAATAAAAAGGAAAAAAAGGTAGGTAAGTACATGACTAAAATATACAGGTATGATTGCTGAAGCCTGAATAATACCTGTAAGCAAAACTAGACCTACTTTTTAAGGGTGCTAAAATTATATATATACCAGACTAAAAATAATTCTTATCTTCATACCATTAAATATAAAATAAAATGTTTGAAAACAACAATATTTAAAAATTACAAATTTGAACCATAGATTATAAACTAATATTACAATATATTATGTATGTTTAATATCTTTGAACAAAGTATATACATTATTAAAAGTTTATGCGTACAAATCAAGGATTGAGGGTGCTAATTTTGAGTTTGGAGGTGCCCAAGTCCCCCTAGCACCCCCCTAGTTGCGCCTAAAAATTAATACCGCGCAGGAATATTGCCCCAGCTATCTTGTTGTGGCCTAAAGGTAAAGTTCATCGGTCGGGCGGCTGATACCAAGTGCTTTCCGCTCCTCTCCCTGGTTTCTTCAACTCGACCACGACAAAAGTTTATTTTTTTTTTATTACTTACGACCACGTCTGTAGATACAGCTGTACTTACAACTATATCGTGTTTTTTTATTATTATACTAATAAAATATATTTTTGTTTTTCTTGTTTAACAATAAATTATTCCAAATAAATATTTTGTTTGTATTCTTATTTCCCCCCCCCCCTATCATCTAAAGATTTTATTAATAATCGACTTTTATTTTATCTGCAATATTACTAACCAAATTTACCACGGTATAATCATAGACTATATTGAGTTATTATTAACAGTAAAAATATCAGTAAGAATCACAGATATATATATATATAATAATCTGTATAATAAATTATATAAATTAATTTTAAAATTATTATAATAATATAATAGCCAATAAGTATATCTGTGAGAAGAATTGAGATATGCTAATGTGATAAGAAACAGTGATAACAGTTTTGATTTTGTTTACACTTTACATGACTAAAGTATACTATATAACTGGTTCATAATTTATTTTTTTTCCACTTATTATTCATTAATTTTTTAACTTATTAATTTTTTATTTTAAGCGTCTCAAAAATTTTTATAATATTAAATTTTATTATTATAAAAAAATTGCCAATCAAGACTTGTTATAATTAGTAAAATAATTTTAATTATTCTAGGTTTTTTAAAAATTGTCAAACTAATTAGAATTTATGGCTGAAACTAGTGTTGATATAGAAAACCGTAGATTCCCATTCTGTGTGGTATGGACACCAATACCGTTTATTAGGTAAGAGTGACGTAAGAATTCAATAAAACATTTATAATATCTTATTGATTATATTTTCATAAAACACACTTAAATGATTTAGGATATATTTTCTTATAATATTATACTTTCTTTATCTAAGTTGAATATAATTAAAAATTATTTAAGCAGCATTAACAACTAATTACTATACATTTTACCTAAGATTTTTGTCAAGGTTCATTATAAAAAAAGATTATATTGCTAGTCCGAGATTCTACTACAACTATAACCTATTTTATGAAGATAGACAGTTGTATAACAATCAAAGGTACAATCAGAGGTTCCATCTGCATTAGCGCAAACACTATGTAGCCAATGTATTTTAGTTTTTGCACAAAAATGTGCAATCGTGGAATAGATTATAGTATATTTATTTTTTAACTCATAATGATTATTAAAACATTTATTTTAGTTGGATCTTTCCACTTATTGGTCACATGGGAGTTTGTACATCCACTGGTGTTATACGTGACTTTTCTGGATCATTTTATGTTGCCGAGGATGATATGGCTTTTGGACCACCCACTAAATATTGGCAATTAGACGTAACATCTATTTCTGGTGGAGCCAAGGCTTGGGATAAAGCTATTAATGAAGCATCAATAGAATATTTCAACAGAATGGTAATTTGATATTTTTTTCATTGTATTCTAATTAAAATTACTATGTTATATAAATTATGTATACAATTACTTATAATTATTAATTACTGTAAATTATAATTTTTAATTCGCCTACACCTCCAAGTCACCATTATATTTCACTACAGATTTGAAATACTAATCTTCACCTACTACTTTATCACTTATCTTCAATAATCACAATATGACTTAATTTATAGTCTTAAATACATAGCACATATCGACCTTCCGTTTAAAACCACACTAATCCAAATTGTAAAACCTAAAAATTATTCTTTATACAAATTTAAATATTGTTCAATCATTATTTTTAAATAAAAATTAATATTTTAAAATCGAGTTGAGGACATTTATTTTGGAATAATCGTATGAAATTGCCCAAAAATTAGAAATAACTTATGGTTGATAAAATTTGTTTAAACAATTTCTAGCTATCGCAAATTAAAACTGGAGCATCAATATACCAAAAATTGTATTAGTTTCAGTTGCACTAAATGGTAATATTAACTTTTTATTTTATTTTTTAGCATAATTTATTTTGTGACAATTGTCATTCACATGTTGGTATGGCATTATCACTTGTAACCTATGGTAAAAGTAAAAACTGGAATATGTTCAAGTTAGCTTTGTATACGTTTCTATTTGGAAAATATGTGAGGTAAATATAAATAACAATGTATTTTATTTTATTCAAATAACTCAATACAACCAAATAAATTTGTTTTTCAGTTTTAATGCATGGTTGAAAACATGGGGACCTTTCATTGCATTTTTGTCCTTATTTTTGGCACTTTGTCTGTTTTATAATTAACAAGCTGCCAAATATTGGTAATTCAATGGATATTACTATATATTAAATACTTATTGAATGTAAAAAAAGAATTATTATTAAGTTACTAATAATGTGTATCTAAGTAATTGCCTATACAACAATTTGTGTAAATTAGAAGAAAGTTTTTTACTAGTTTGTTTGTTGCAGTAGCTATTTATTGTAATACTATTATATAATGAATCTAAAAGTGCCCATACTTCTCATTAAACAAAAACAGGGTGCATTACAAATACATTTTAAGTTGTGTTTACCAAATTTAAGACTTACCAATTGTCTAGTAGTATTAAAAATCAATTCATCAATTTAAAATAGACCATATTTGATGAATATGTTAAAACCCTCATGGATTGATCTATTTGTTTGATAATTTTCGGATTTATCTATGTTGTCATTAGTTAGAGGTCGTTTCAAACCCATTTCAAAGTTACTGCAACCTATTTATAAATACTGGTTGGGTCAATCCAATAATAAAAGAAAATATTTGGCAATTTTTTGATTTGTGTAATTACTTATTACATAATATATTTGATTTTGTATACTATTTTTATTTTAAAGTAATTTTAAATCTACAACTTATTGCGTATGATTTTTTTAAGGCCAAAGCACTTATTACATGTACTTTTAAATTAGTTCTTAAGCTTGTATAATTAATATTAATACATTACATTTTTATTTAGCAAAAGCATAACACGAATGCATGTAAAAGTATTATTTATTTTATCATAATATTACTTTGTATGGCAAAACTTTAAAACCACCATTTGAAACAATTATTCTAAAAAAAAGTTCACATTTTAATTTTAGTTTTATAATTTACTAAGGTATTTTTGGTGATTTATAATTATCCATTGATTAAGTTTGCTTAAATCTGTGGGGGTAACACAATTTCAGGGCTCACTATTAATGTATAAATGCTTTTATGTCCTCTACTAAAAAAAGAGATGATTACTCTGCAATGCATGAGTGATGGGCAACATCACAGTTGAGTTGTTAACGAGCTAACAGAAATTACAATAGAAAGAATCCAATAATGGACAGAACGGTCTTACCAACTGAAAGAAATCCAATCAGCATAGGGAAATCATCTCATTTCTTTAGAGGCAAGTGACTATCCACTTTAATAATGTAATTATTTTGAAAACAACCCTGTCATTATTATGTATAAAACAAAATTCTATAATCATTAAGAGGTTTTATTTTATCGACATATTTTACATCATCTCTAGTGTATACTATTTAAGAATTATTATATTAATATTTGTTTAAGTATAAATTTCATTCCTCAACAACAACTCTCAAGACGTCAGAAGAATTCACTTTTTTTTAATGTACATACATTTTAATTAAAAAAATATATATTTGAATAAATGTAATGTCTTTAAAATTCTTTGGACAACTATTTAATAAGCAAAGTATTGTATAAAAATAATATAGTTACAGTAATTTCTATACATTAATTAATAAATAAACACAAAATAGAACTTATCAATAGTGTGGTTAAAATAATGTGCTAACTTATTTGTTTGTGTGCTTTTTTTTGAATTTAAATAATAAAATGTAAGAATAGTAATTTTGTAAAAAATGTTATACCCATTAATTCAATAATTAAATGTAGTAATTACATATTTCACTATTTCTCCTTGTCTTTGTGAAATATATTAAAACAAATACGATGCAACCATTGAATATCGTTTTTTTGCGGAACTTTTATAAAACCATTTGGTTCATCACCATTGTTTTTTGTCATCTTTGTATGCTAGAAACATATTTTTCCACTAGTTTAGTAATTTTATAAGAAAGTATAGTGGATAGTATAGTGTTTTGATAAACAAATCAAGTTTCATTAATATAATTGAAATATTTATTATAAAATGTTTATACAAATTGTATGTTCTATTTACATAATTGATGAATGTAATAAACGTGTAGACTAGATTTTTGTTTTGCTTTAGGCAACATACAGTGTGAGATCACTTACCAGTCTTCTATCATTAGAAAAGTCATAATTGTATACATCTGATTCTAGAAATTCTTTAACAGACGACAAACACTTTCGAGTATTTTCCAAATTATAATTAATATCATTTGTGCCTGCATTTATTTCTTTAGACAAAACAAAAGGAACGCTATCAAGCATACTGGTTAATTTCATCTCGTCAGTAGTCTCCTCGACCCCTTTGAGTTCATGTTGCGGGATATCGTTTGATTTTAACATGTATGGTAACTGGGGCCATGGAGTTTGGTTTGGTACAGATTTCGGATTTGATTGAGGAATTGTTACTGCCGGTTGAGGATCTTGAGGCTCGGTAGGCTCAACATTTTCAGATTTTAGTTTTGAAATCCCAAACAGCCAAGATGCCATGATCTGAAAATCATGAAATTATCAACTTCGTGATAAATTTGGCAATACATTCAAATGAAATGTATTGCCATGCATTTATCAATTATGTAAGTTAATTAGTTGGGTCTATACAGCTAACTATAAAATAACATAAGTAGGGGTAGGTAAATTATTTATACACATTTTATTTAATTAACTATAACGATTTATGGTACTTAATTTTACATTAAAATCATATAGTGTAATAAATTACAAGACATTATGTGGATCTATAATATACCCCAATATACGTCAAGTCCATCCTAACCGGTAATGCTCACCGAATGGTACGTAAGCGAAAGTTAATTTCCTTTTCGGCTGAATCGACTTAAACTATTGGACGACTAGTGAAGTATGTTTGTTTATTGACCGGTTGTGGTTCGGTACTCTGGTGGCGTAAGAGGTGCAGTATTGTTTTGATACTAGTGCGATTGCGGAATAGCTGTAAATGTGAAATGAACGGTAAGTTAAAGTGTATAATTTTATATTATACAGGTCACTAGCGTGTGACCCGTGAAGCAAACGAGGATAGCTCGGCAGGAATTTTCGAAAAAGCTGCTGCTCTTCCTGTCGATGCAGTGTGTACAGTGTATTACCTATATAATAATACTTAATAAAAATTATAAGTATTTTTTTTATTTATAAAGTATTAACATAGTCAAAACGTACCTACGACCCGACTTCTTTGATAACAAGCGACCGTGTATCGTGATAACCGGAGGGTGTGTTGTAGTGATAAGGCAGGCGCACGCGCCCCCGCGTCACTAACGGCAGCCGCATCGCAGTACGCTTATCTCCGGAACCATAGTGTTTCCGATGAATGGCACGGCAGAGTAAATTGGTGCGGGTCGTTTTCAAGCGCCATCTACAACCGGACAATAAATCTGTACACTATAAGCCAATCAGATCGCAGTACGCGCGAGTGTCAATAGCAGGCTAATAGATGGCGCTCGGAATCGGCATGGACCGATTCACCCCGCACACCCGCTCTTCCGTGACATTTCGTTTCCGGCCGTCCACCTGTTCCCGGCCATATCGTTTCAAGTCGGGCTTTATCTTGGCCCGCGACTGTCGTCATGTGCCGGCGGCGAGGCGTTCCGTCGACCGTCACACGCGCGCAGGCCGCAGCCAGTGGGCCGACGTACAGATATCAGTTTGGATGTACGTTGGTCGGGATATTTGGTAAAGTGTCTACGACAAAAATAAAACAAAAAACTTGTTAAAACATTTTTTTTCTTTCTAAAAAACGCCAAAAATAATAACAAAAAGATACGATATACCTACCGCCGTGCCGGTGTCGGTCGTGTGCATTTTTAAATTCCGCCGTCTGTTTTATTTGTTTTTATCGTCTCTTGCGCCGCGTCGCGTTCGCTGCACATCGTCCGTGTGTAATAATAACACTTATTATTATTATATTAAAGAATCACTATTAACGTTAATAATAATTTCGTAGACGATATATTTTTTTTTCTACCGGAGTTGGCCGTTAACCATACATAATTATTATTTTCTACATATACACATCGGTTTTTTTTTTTTTTTGAGCTCTACCACCACCCATACCTGCTTGCCGCGAGTGTTGTATACATTGTATATGAGTATATTATTATTTTTATCCGTCGTGTCCAAAGTTTCAGGGAAACTGGTTATTCGCCGCCGCAACACTGTGTGTGAATGTGTGTGTGTGTGTGTGTGTGTGTGTGGATAAAAAACACACAGACACACAACATAATGTAATGAATAATAATATATACAATGCTGTATTTGTGTAGTGATTACGAGCGGTTCCATTGATACGGCCGTGTTTGTGTGTATACTATGTGTGCGCGTTTAATGTTAAATATTTTTAAAACTTGCACATTGTCAACACAATAGACATTTTTAAACCAAACGATTTTTTTATACTTGTCTTTCCATCCATAAAATTCAAATAAAGTACCCGTGTTCGGACGACGGACGGTGACAAATCCTAGTGATAACACTGCCTACCCTGCGCAAAGGGAGAATATTCAATATTATGCTTTTATCGTCGACTTAGTGGCTTGGGCACGTTTGTAACAGCAGGTATGTACCTTTATCTAGTGTTATTCTTAGTTGTAATTCAACCGAACAATAGAAACTAGTAGTGTAGATACCAGTTAAACTATTATTTTCGGTTTTAACCTTGAACTTGTATACTGTGTAAAAAGCTCCAAGTGAATCCATACAGTTACAGTAGAAAGCCTTATACGTTTAGGCTTATACATCTTATTGGCAGCGCTTACTCAACCGAACAATAAAATACCAACATGATCTCCAAAAATGTATTTTCTCGGGAGTTTTCTTTTTCAATATGATACTTTTACAATTAGAAATTTGGAGCCTTCAAATTTTTCTTGTCTTGTTCGTTTTGCCTACATGTTGACAAAGTTTTTTTCTAATATTCACAATATTTTGTTTGTCTTTACGTTTATATAAAGAAATAACATGCACATTTGTTTTGGTTTTGTTATGTATTTCCTAAGAAAATGTCAATAAAACCTTACTTGTTTACTTCACTCATCAGGTTTCTTTTATAACAATATATTGGAGACCTGTTGATTGATATAATAATATACTTCATGCTTTACACAGGGTATGTTACGATGATATTCTATATTCATTATACAATCCTCTGTTTATTCGCAACTTTATTTATTCATTACAAAGTATAATTAATATTTTGATTGGCTTGTGTACTTTTGTTAGATTAATACTAAGAAATTTTTAGACAAGTTTATTATATCACATCTTTTTATAGTCGTTTTAGTAACAATTATTTACAAACTAATAATTATTAAGAAAAAGCACTTGATATTTCATTATAAATATTTTTTAGTTTTTTCTAAAGTCTCATTATTGTTCATATTATAAAAAAAGTAATACCAACAGTGCTTTTTGTACTTTTCATAAAAATATAAATAGAATGTTTACCTACACAAACCATCTAGCGAACTTTTTGACATGTTTTCTTTTATACAGGTGCTGGCACCTTTGAATAATATCAAATTAAACTATTGTTGTCTATAGATCATATATTTTTATTTCAGCTTGTGTTTGACTATTAATAGTCAGACCTACAGAAATTAGTAGAGCTTCATAATATATATTAATAATTGATTAATGATTAATAATAATAGTTGCATTGAAATAGAAAAAATAATAAACCTAGTTATATGTTATATATTATGGAAATCTTCAATTGAGTCTTGTTATTTTCTTTGTGGGTAAACACATTTTATAAATGACTCGATAGCAAACACTTATTATTATTTATTACTACGTACATATTATTACAAAACACAACCAACTTGATTTCTATAAATATACTTAGTCTATGAAAATCCATTTTGAAATTTGCAGGTATTTACCATAACTTCTAAGTCATCATTTAAACAGCAACAAAGTACATAAAAGTTTACGCCTGTTTTAAAGTATTGAAGAAAACTGAATATTAATAAAAGAAGGGTAGTGTGTCAAACCATAATGTTAACATGTCTTATAATAACAAGTTTTGAATGTTTTCATTACTAATTTTATCTTTACTACATTATTTTTTGCCAAAAGTTGTCTTAACTAGCTTTTCTTAATATATAACAATACATGTATGAAGTGTGTACAGTGCATATATAGAATAACTGGTGTATTATTATGTCAGTATGTTGATTATTATTTTTTCAATCACTCAAGTTTTTTTCTAATAAACTAAAGTAAGAACTAAAATTTATATTTGTCTAAGTTTTAATACTAAATAATATTTTGTTTTATTATATTTTTATAATATACCTACTTAATAAATAACTATAATTTATGTATACTTATATACTATTATGTGATGTACAAAATATTTTATTGTGTAAATATTTCTAAAATAATTATGTTTTAAGGACCAATGTATATTGGGATGGTAGCAAATTTTTGTTTTTAAAGTGAACATTTTATTTTCATATAGTTATATCTAATTTGTGACAAATGCCCCAATGCCAAATTTGAACTAAATAAAATAAAGACAGAAAGCCTTTAAAATATCTGCCATACTGCTCTATTAGCTAGGTAATAAACAAGATAAAAATTGGTGATTTTGTTTAAAATATTGTTGGATCTCAATTTATATACTAAAAAAATATATATATATATATATATATATATTAAAAAAATAACACTTGAAAACCAGTAATCTAAACCGATATCATGTTTTAAACAGGATTAGTAAACCAATTAAGAAACAATAGAAATTGAAATTGGTTTTGGAAACTAAATTTAAACCTCTTCAAGTTCATAGAACAGACAGTATTATCAGAAATGCTTGGGTTGGTTTTTAAATTTTAATTGGTTTGTGTTTAGTAATGTTAAATGTTATTAATACTATTTTTTTGGGTTAAAACCGATTTTATGAAAAGTATTTCAATTTCTACTCTCATTGGGGGCACTGCACTACAGAACATTTTAATTTCTGGCCGATTTTAATTTCCCTAATTTTAATGTAATATTTGTGTTGCATAGAAATTTATGACAATAATCTAAACAATCTTTCAGCAAAAATAAAATATGTCACATTTTTTTTTATTTGTAAAGAAATTAGTAAAGTGTCCATTTTTAAGTAAATCACCCAAAAATGTATGCATTTAAGTGAAATATAATAAAGTTTTATTTTACTCAAGATATCTGGGATAGTGTCATATATAACATTAATATCATAAATTGGGTATCGTTATGATTCTTATCATGATGTATGTTATTTTAGAATTCACTTTATTAACTTAAGTTTTTATTGAAAATTCTAAAGTTCCCTGTAGACAATCAAATTTGTTTGACAATTTTGTTGGTCAAACTTCACGTTTTTTTCAAACAAAAGCTCAAACGATCAAACAAATTTGTCAAACTTGCTCGAAGTTTGGGTTTTCTTCTTGCCGTGGCGTGGCGTTCGTGTCAATTTGCCGTTAATCCAGATTTCCATCAAACACTTACATTGTTTGATAAACGCGACAAACAAGTCTGCATACTAACAATTAATTTGACAAACAATTTGATCGTCTACAGGGGCCTTAACATTTTGTGTTCAAATGTACATAAATAAAATTGTCTTAAAACAACTATGGCATGACAAATGAGAAATTTCATTTAACACCATTAAGAATTAAAATAAATACTATGTTATATGAAGGGTACAGGGAAAAAACAGTAGTAGTCACATTATGAAAATTTTAGAGTATAGCTAAAACAAAGTTCGTGAATTCCTCTCCCTTTTACATAAGTACAAAAAATGTATTTATTTAAACAATATATTGACATAAATAAAAAAAATTTATGGCATAAATTGAAAAAAACTATTTGAAAAAAAAAATTTTCATAATGTGACTACTACCGTTTTTCCCCTGTGCCCTTCATATTTTTAGTTGCCAAAAAATACAGCATTAATCAGTGGGTGTGTTGTTTACGAACTTGTTTAGTTTTCATTAAATTTAATACATAAGCTAAAACTATTATATTTGTTATCTAATCACTAATCATGTTTTTCATTTATGTACTTTCAAAGTTTTTCTTTTTTACTAACTTCTAAAATCATGACAGCTCTAAGTAAAAAAAATGTTAAAAAATATATCAACTAGTTAAAGTATGATTATATACGTTATCAAAAAAAGTTTAGACTTCCATCTGATAAGAGGGAGGGGTAAGTATTTAATTTGTTTGAAAAAGTTTGAAAAGAACTTGTAAATACTTGTTTTAAAAAGTATTGTCAATGTTAGTAAAGAAAAATGGTTACTTGATGAGAGATTTGATAAAAATTAAAACTATTATATAATATTGTTACGTTTGGAATTTGAGTTTTAAAATACAATTATTTGCATATTTCTGCTTCATTTATCTCAATTTAAGCACCATCTCAATGTATCCAATAAACTTTATTCTTCGTTTTTAATAAAAGTTGAGAGTAAGTCATGATAGTTTTCGTTGATATAATGTCACATTGTAAAGGAATACTCTAATTTTGCTTATGAATATTTTTATTGGTTAAGTAATATTATTAGTCTAATATTTTTTTGAGAACATTTTGAAAAGTTTGAGAACATTCTTTTCGCTGTAACAGACTTTATGTGTAAGTTTTAAGAAGTTCCGGAGGGGGGGGGATCTTAAAGTTTGTTTGTATTTGGGGTTTTGGGCTTTGGCCCATTTATATAAACTGTGATTTTCAAAAAAGTGTTTAGGTTAAAAAAACAATATTAATTTGGCGAATCTTGATTTTTTGGGAAAATAATCTTTAAGATATGAAATTGGATAGCGATTAATATTAGGTTATTACCGTGACAACAATAAAATTCCGAATTACTAAATTGATGGGTAATAACTGCTACCACGTTCATTATAACTTAAGATAGTATAGGTAGTGGGCGCCCTTAATTTACACAATAAACAGCTGCTACACCGAGTAAATTTTTCTATTTTCAATAAAATGGGTTTTCTACTTTTGTATGGGAGACGTCCATCATAATTTCGAGTAATTACCTTTTGTCGTTGATTTCGCTCGTGATTATAATAAAATCCCACGAGGCACCCTAACCCGGTTTTTTGTGACCGTTTTAAGCTTATTCCAAAAATAGAGTGATTTAAAGGGTTTTGAACAACGTCTGGAATACTAATGATACACGACTCCGAGATTGAAATGTTAAACAATCATGTTCTTCGCAACTATGCTAATAATAATTAAACTAATTTTGGTATTCTTAGAGTTATACTGAACGCGATTTTGTTTGAGAAAACGTTTGCGTGCACGTGCAATATTTTAGATTATTATAGTATAATTATGCAATATTTCTATATTTAGAACGACAAGTGCACTTAAGACAATAGGGGTATTTTCCAAGGACTCCGTTATTATATAATTTATAAATATATTGTTAAGACCCTCTGTTCTTAGAACACTAGCCCAAATTGAATAACGAATTTCGGAATCGTAACTATAGCATTTATAGCAAACGCGGATAATTGGGAAACGTCAATTTGTACAAAATATTTTAAGGGAAAACAAATTCGATTAATACTTAAATCAGAAATTCATTTAAGCCGAGAAAACCTTTCAGGTCTTTTAATTTTATTATTTATTAAAGTGAGTGAACAAATGTTAAAAACTATTGTCATGTTTTTAAGCGTTCAATTATTAAATATGATTATTTTTTAAAATTGTTTTTACTTTTTTTTCAGAAAAATTATTTTTTTTATTCATAGATCTTAAAAAAATATTTTAAAAGGAAATTATATTTACTATTTATTAAGTGTAGGAATTTTAAAGTTGAAGCTTAAAATATAATGTAAATTTATTTGTTTAATAATTAGGATTCTTTATTGCTGGGTTGTTAATTTTTTAGTTGTTATATCAAAAAAATGTGTACTGTTATGGGAAGTTCTAGTATGTCGTATTTAAAAGTTGAACAATGTGTCAACTTTTCTCGTTTATGAAGTGGAAAGGTTGAACTTTTTTAATTTTTGTCTTAAAGAGAAGCTTTGGTGTTCGATATCTGAGCTGTAGACAGGTTTACAAAAAAAAAAATTGATCGAGTGTTTGAAAATTACCGTGAGCTTAGACACGAGAATAATTTAAATATTGTAAAAATATCATCTATTCAGTTCTGCTTTGATGTTAGAAAAAGGGTCACACCATTTAGGTATTACTGATGACGATTTTGTGTATCTATCTCTATTGTAACCCAAAAGCTAGCGCCGCGCCGTCACTACGTGATTATTGTGTTGTTAACAACAAATTAACGCTTTAGGAATACAATTATTAAATTGTCAAAGCAGCTCCCCGTACCACCTGTGTTGCTTAAAGACCTTAAATGCCATTATTGGTCGTGTTGTTTGTGTTTACTCTTTTCCCCAACATTGTGTCACCTTTATGATCTTAAAATGCCCACGCGAACTTTTCTTGCATTAATACTAAATATAACCGCCAGTTACCTCATAATTTCCGCCTTGGGTATATCATGATAAGTATATCATAAAATAATATATATAATCGTCTATTGTATGATAACCGTTTGTGAAATGTCGCGATCTTATAAATAACGTTTACCTCGAACCACTCGCATTCCTTCTATATAATATCTCCGTTGGTCGAACACTCTAACGAAACACTGTTTTAGACTTTTGATTAATAATAGCTGTTACACGTGCATGTATTTTGTGTATATTTGAACTGTTGGTACAACCGACAACGCATATTATTATAAGTACACACGCATAAAAAAATAAGTAAGCGAATTTAAAATAAATTGCCAATATTTATGTTTTATGACCCAAGCGTTATAGGCATGTTTTATATTTGATAAAAATCGTTCAATATAAAATAAATAATATAATTATTATCAACTGTATTTGCCGTCATAAGTCATAGCCAATACCGGGTGATCAATTATCGGAACACCTTCATTTTCTCAGAAAATAATTGGAATTTTCCATTTTTTCTTATTGAAAACATTTTTATTTATGTTATTCTAAAATATTATAGAATAACTGAATATTTACCTTTTTAGTATTTTCTAGAGCTCTATCAACTTTGGAAACTTAACTGATAACGTATATATTTAACTAACTTTTTAAATTAAGAATATTTTTCTGGAAATGTTGACTTGTCTATAAATAATTTTAGATAATTACTTTTAAAGCTAATAATGTTTTAAATTTAGGACGAGAGATAGGGTGGAGTCAAGTTATCTTTTTATTTGCGTATTACTCAACTGCATTCCACCACCTGTCTTAAATTTTAAACTTTAGTAACTTTAAAAGTAATTGTACAAAAATGGTTTTTGACCAGTCAAAATGTTCAGTAAATTAATCGTTATTTAAAAAGTCTAAATATATGCGTAACCATTTAGTTTAAAAGATTATAGAGCTCTAAAAAAATTAAAAAGAAAAAATTTGGATGTTGTCTAATATTGTAAAATAACACAAACTAAATAGTCTCCAAAAAGAAAAAAAAAACAGTTTATTTTAAGAGTTTAAATGAGCGTCTCTCGTTTAATTGATCCGCTGTACATGATATTGGTGTAAAAACAAAAAACCATAAATTATTGTTATTATTAATATTAAACCCAATATTGTGTTAACCAAAAAACCATTCGATAGTGTGCTAAAAAGTCGTTGTACGTTTGGTGGTTCCCACGAAAAAACCTTTAGGTAAAAAAATGTACCAAGCGTTTAAAAATATTTACTTATTAATGACATTTTAAAAATTATGTAAACAAAATTAAAATACTATACAACAAATGGGTATTGACGGTTATTTTTGTTGTCGTTAAATTTGACAAAATAAATGAATATATTATATATAATAATATGTTCTCGCGGTGTTCGGTACCTATATTGTATAATTTTACGACGAACTTCCACGCGGATCAATAGTGATTATTAAAAAAAAGTATTTTTAACCTAACGTTCAGTGTCCTTGAACTTTTCACGGCTGGAAACATTTTAATTAACTATTGAGGGTGTGTTTGATTTTACCATTAAAAAAAAAAAACTACTTTTATCGTGTGTCAAGGGATTTATTTCAACAGTTAAATAATAGCTTTGTCTAGGAAAAAGTACAAATAGTTTACTAATAGTTCACATCTTTTGGAAGTGAGATTCAAAGTTATGATTTTTTGTAAACCGTTAACCGTGTTTTAAATGTTCATACTTATGTTCTGGGAGTGGTGTTTTTTACACAGTATAAATCCTATTTTAATACTTATGATTGCTTGTTAGACAATAGTTAGTGTGTGGCCCAAGAGATACAGTCATAGACTAACAATGCAAATAAATCATAACTGGAACATACTAACAATGCATTTTGTCATAAATTAATTCTTACTGGTCTAAATATTGTCTGAGATGTTATAAATGTATATATTTTTTTATGTTGAGTATTGTTAATTTTAATTTGTTTTTGTGATTAAAGTAGTATAAAAATAAACTGTAAACAAATCCGAATCGATGATGGCAAAAACAATACAAATCAATGTTTGTTATGTATCAATAATTATGTTATAAATAAAATATTGATTAAATAATTTTTAAACAAACCAAAGTCCAAAAGCAAATACTCACTTTGTATTTTCGAAAAAATATCTGTGGGAGGAAGGGGTTCAACGTATTAGAAAACCCTAGGTATATAGTAATACAAAACAAAAATAATATTATCAGATTATTACTTGTATGTATTTTTGGGGTTCTGGGAGCATTAATAGTAATTGGACCCACACCCCTCCATCACCACCAACTGCGTTACTACTCCTTAGTTGTGCAGTAGTTATTTTCTATTAATATCTCCAAAAATCGTTTTCGTTTCATGACTTAAATTGTAAAGAGGAAGATGCTAAAATTATAAGCACTATACAAAATGCCGCTTAAAAAAAAATTACAAACTATTGTGTACTATGTATAGTTAAAATATTTTATCGTTTATTTAGTAATTAACAACATTATTTTAGAGTGAAATAAAATGTATTATATTTTATTTAGAAATATATTACACAATAGTCAATGAGTTGCAGCATAATATGATTTTAAGGCAACACTTTAAATCAAAATATTACTGTAGGTATTTATTTAACATAATCTGTTCTTGGCATATTTTTATTATTACAAATTAATTAAGAACTTTTTTTTGACATTGAAAGTTCTGTAGCATTTATTTATTAAGATTTATTTGTTTATTTTAGTAAGTTCAAAGTGATTTTTGAAATTTGTTCTCTTTTAGTTTTTCTGTTAATAATCGAAATACAATTTGATATACATATTGTATGTCAAATAATAAATTATATTGTATATACATTTTGCAAGGATGTTATCTGACAACCCGTGCATGTATATACAGGATAATTCATTTAACGCACTAATTTTCTTAGTAATTAATTACAACTGTATATTATGTTTATTATGTACATTTTATTACATTTTAAATGTAAATTATAATTTTATATTTATAAATGCTAATAATAAAGTATTTTGCTGATGATTTTGTTTTTATACAATTCTCACAAATTGTTGCGAATATAGTGATCGCTCTATTTTGAACATAATATCTTTTAACATATAATTTGATGGTATGTGTTTTTTTTTTTGTGGTCAATAGAACTTGTAGACATGCGTGGACTTCTCAATTCCAGACTTGTTGAAGTGATATAATATTATTATAATACATTCGGCATTATAACACATAAATCATAGTATAACAAAAACAACAATTTTGTGTTGTAATAATTGTAACAATAATGTTATAAATAATTAAGTTTTAATAACATAAATGAATAGCATAATTTGTATACCCTAGCAAAAATAAAAATCATAACTAATCACACACAAATAATTATGTATGCTGTTTCAGATTAAAATGGACAGCGCGGTACTTAACCACTGAGAAAGCACCACCGTGGTCGATGTGACAATTATTTTATGAAGGCCGTGGCCAAATTTTCCTATCAAATATGTCCGCTGATTCTTCAGAACCCAACGCCAAGAGAACAGGTCAGTTGAATTTGATTTACTTTCGGTCATTCTTAATTCTTATATGTGCTCTCCACATATCCAGGCCTACTAATACAAAATATTATAAATAGGAGCTTAGTGACCAATTAAGGATTTTCATGGGAGAATGGAATTCGAATTATTATTATTATTAGTTATTTCATGCTCATGAACATTTAAATTTTTTTTAATTTATTATTGGTTTGACATTTACATAACATTTTAATTTAATATCAACTATCTATGCGTGATGGATAGAAAAACATTGTTCTAATCGGATCCGAGTTTGTGACGCCTAAAGAATTTCGCCGTGTAGCATTGTCTGTTGTGTTGGCTGGAGGTCGATTGTATTTGTATTTGGTGCTTCCCCCCCCCCCCTAACCGCTTACAAACACATACTAAACCAACCGACGTTGCTATAAAAAATTATGAGACCACTCTAAAAATTTAGCTGTATCTGAGGTTTTACCTTCAAGATTCTTTTAATGTTTAAGTACCATCCAAAACGTCGAACTTGCGAACACTATAATTTTTACAATGTATTTATTATATTTTTACATCGTGTCATTATTGTCCTACTCGAATTTCTAACCGTTTTATTTTACTGGTTTCCCATAGTACCGCAAGCCTGAACATTTATTTACTGATGTGGTAGGCAACAGGCAAAACACTAATCTAGTAGGGCAAATTGTACAACTGGTGCGTTCAAACAAAAAAAAACAAACGTTTTTTAACGGCTGGCATTGTGTTCTGGCGTTTGTTTGTCAAAAAATCACATAATTTGATTGTTGTGTAACAACAGTTTTATAATCTATACCTATATAATATATTATCTATATATGCGTGAAAAATAACAACTAAAAATAAAGGTGGGTTCATCGAGCTCTTTGAATAAGTGGTGACATCATTGTTTTTCTGTTGATGGTGTTCCCAAGTAGATTAAAATAAAGATGACTTATATAAATTAACGTTTTAAAATTATTTTATGTAGGCATAGCTTTTATTAATTTATTATTTTGGGATTTTTATTTGAGAAACATACATTGTGTTAAATTGAATGGACTAATCACTAGCGATCACCAACAACTTGGTATTTAAAGGTCTATTAATTGTTGAAAAATTTAATTAGGCGGTACCGCGTACATAGATAGTGAATATGTTGTTGACGGTTTTTTCTCTTCACTACACTATATAATTAAAACATTTAAAGGTTCGGTCGTTATAATTATTCATCAATTATTTATAGATGTATTATCGTTGGTACATTATATTTTGTTTGGTTCGGTATAGAAAGAAACGTTGGAAGTCAGAAACTAAAGAATGGATTAGGTACAGGATAATTATTATTTTTTATCTAAGACACTGACTCTCTGGATAGTTAAAACGATCGTATACGCGTCAAATAATACAAATTAAACAATGGTCAAAAAGATAAAAGCAGTCGTTTCAAGTGGGATTTAGATAATTTTACCTACATTAAATTATTGGTCATTGTAAATAAAATATTAATTTAGTTATTATCCACAGCTGTTCTCATCTGTTAGATAAGCAATGTTTTCAATTTGAAAATAATTCAGGCAATATTATCTAAAGTGGACATTGATATAGGCAGTACATTATGCTAAAGGTATAATGGATTTGTAAATTATTATTAAATATGCGATAATAGTTGTATATACTACTGATAATATAATATACAATTGCATACATAATTATTTATTTTGTGATAATACTCAAAGTAGGGTATACAGATAGTATAACACGAACATAGTATTATATAGAGTTACTAGGCACTAGTTATTTAATTGCAAACTGTCTGTATTCATACTACTTTTTATTTACTTATTTTAATTTAATAACTAATTAATATATGCATTATCCACTATATAAGAATGAGCCAGCCGTTAACCAGTTATGAATAAGTAATTTTTATTGATTTATACAACTTTTATAGCTACTTAGTACTCATTTCACGTTGTTGTGGTAAAAATGTTGTGTGAAGGGAAAATATACATTGCATTATCTCCCACGTTTATGTTAATATTATTAAATACTCATAACTTTTAGAATATATTATTCAAAACAGGTTTAAGCCTATAGGTCAGTATTTTTTTGTAAATCATAAAAATATTACGTATGTTTAGTGTTTATGAGTTATTTTTAAAAACATCCCACGAAGGTATTGAAGTGAGTCAAGTTGTGTACTTGACTATTTATAAAGTTTATTATCTTGTGTTCGATTTGAATAACAGCTTTTAACAAATTTAAAAACTAAATCAATTTAATGCAATGATTTATATCGATAATAATTATCGAACGTTAGATAGTAGTATGGAAATGGAATACTTTGTATGCAACCTTATAATAAAATAAAGAAACGTAATATTTGATTCAATAGAAAATAATGTATACTTTAAATTAACATTACCATGAGTATAAATTATTGTACAATGCCGTACTACGTTGTAGTTGTTAAGAGTGTTGTAATTATTTATTTTTAAAGACGTCATTGTTAAATATACATATATTTATGTTTATTTTACCATAGGTTTCCATATTTATCATTATACATTAATATCGAAGGTACTTTCGAGTAAATTATTGTGTTATTGTATGATGGCCCATGCGATATTATTTATAACATATTTTAACTTAATTTTTATCACCTGTATAATTTATTGTTTTGGTTTCTTTATCAAATCATTTTGGGTTTTATTTTTATCCGTGATTCACATAATGTACTCGAGAGAATAATTAGTGTGTGTTTTCATTTGATAAAAAGTTAAAATGGATTTCTGATTTGTTTTTGTTGATGACATGTATTCGAGTCTTAAGAAAATGCCTGCCTACACGTTAGCTTGGAAAACGTTGCTTAGCCCTTTCAGTTTTAAAATTAGCACCTCTATAAACCCTACACATATTACATAGGAGAGGGTCTTTATTATATTTTCAGCGTAACTATTTTTAACAAAATTAGGCCTTTGTAAACACAAATTCAGAAATGTGCAAAATGGACGAATAAATTGTAATTATTTTTGTTTTACCTCATTAGCTCAATAAAAAAAATATATTATGTAATTAGCATTCTCTTTAATCATATTAAAGTGATTTATAATTTCCGTTAGATTACCTTATTTATCGTCTACTTATCATACAATAATGTGGACGATCCACAAAATTTGTTTAAAACAAATAATGAAATATTAATAAATTACGAACACCCGCTAGCGTGGTGCTTTTATAGTATTTATTTTTTTTTTCATTTTAAATCCAACTCTAAATAAAAATTATAATTTCGATGGTCGGTTATAGTACTTAATTACCACTCAATTTAAATTTTAGAATACAATTTAAAGGAAAATTTTTCTAAGTAAAGATAGTTTTAAATCTAAATCCATTATATTTAAAAATAGCAAGTTAATCCTCTTAAAAAAATGATTTTTTCGAAATAAATTTAATTTGTGCGTTAGCAACTAGCCAAAGGATAGTAGTTTCACAGCCAAGTGTGCTTTTTTTTGGAACACGTTAAAATATAATGTGCTTTGTTACTATGTTATTCGCAAGTTGGGCCTACTTGCGACTTACATATTTCATTTTTGTTAATATAGAGGAGTTCAAATTAGCTTTGGAAAATATTGTTAAAACAACTCTATGCAATAAATTGCTTAAAAACAATGTTTTATTTAAGTTTAATAATTAAATTAAAAATTGCATAAAACATGTTATTTATATTTTAATAATAGTATATTTCCTACACGAGAGAATTACTAAAATAGTTTATTTTTTTCGAATGTGCCTTACATAATAAAATTAACATCCCCCCCCTAACAATTTCCCTTAATTTTGTTCTATATTTCACAACGTTTAACCCAATTCTTTTATCGAATAAATGTAGAATGAATTATGTAGGTATGCCTAAACTATACTGGGTAATTATTTTAAAGTAAGACACTCCTTTATCGGAATGTAATTGCAATATTTTTTTGAAAACATTTTTATTTATGTTATTATGTAATATTACAAAATTATCGAATATTTAACTTATGTAGCATTTTGTAGAGCGCTATCAATTTTTGAATCTTAAATGAGGACGTTTATATTTAAATTACATGTTCAAGTAAGAATAATTTGCTAAACATTTTGACTGGTTGATAACGAGTTTTGAATAATTTAATAATTATTCAAAAATTTTGAATAATTACTAAGGTTATTCAAGTTTGGAGCGGGAGGACAAATGAAATGTATATTATTCTTATCTGCGTGCATTAGTTACGCAGATCAACGCCCATTACTCATTACTCAATTTCTTTACTAAATTTTAAACGTGGACCCTAGGATCCCATTAAGTACAGTTGAAAAACATGAAGTTGTTATTCAAATAAAAGTTTTCGATAAAAGCTAGTTCTATCGTTCACACTTGCCCCTAAATTACCTATTTTATATAAATAATATTGCGACGGATGCCCGCAATGTATAAGGCGTATAACGTACCACAGGCGGCGTCGGTGGTCTTTAAATAAAGTTGTCGTGTTGACCCCAAATTTTACAATAATAAATTTATCACGTTGTTCTTGTCCGCCGTATTCTATTTCTGTGTCGCGTACGCCACGCGGTGTTACTTGGTGTGTGTATCTGTGCGGCGGCGCCGCCTTCTTTTCCCGGACAACACAGTCATCGCAATCACTATCCTATCATCATCACCATCGTATGATTTATGAACATTTTTTTTTTTAATCCGACTTCGAGCGTTTCCATTCGCAAATGGCCTTTGGTACTTAAATGTTATAATAAACTTTCAATCCAAAGCGGCTTATTTACGGTATCGCTATAATCGCCGGTTGTTGTTTGTATTTTTGGCGTTCGCGAGTACATGTATTAGTCGTGTCGTTGTAGGTGGTTAAAACAAAATATTTTAATTATTTAACCGCCCAAAAAGTGTGTTGTACGAAATCATATTTCAATACTATCCGTTTGGGGCAGACAAACTCTTAGTGTTGACA